TCAAGTCTCCATTGACCTACAGTGCATTGAAAACCGATTAATCCCGTAACAGGCTGTTTTTGTTCCATTTTGGTTTTTTTCTGGTCTGTAAGTCAATTCTCAGGCTGCAAGTCAAACCTAAATTTTGCGGCCAGAAAAGTCTGTAAGTCAAGCCGTCTGTAAGTCAAGGGTCCACTGTATTATGAGAAGACAAGACTCGCTGGGAAAGAAAGTAATTCTGGGAAAACTTGAAGGCAGCAAGAAAAAAAAGGAAGGTTGAAGAAAATATGGATTGACAATAAAGGAACACATGGTCTTCAGTTGCAGAGTCTGGGTGGGGCTGTTAATAATAGGAAATTTTGGAGGTCATAAGGGGTTGCCATATGTTGGAAGTGACTTGACAGCACATAATACTGTGCCAGTTCAGTGACCCAAGGTTGCTTACAGGATGGGGAGAAGAGACATTCATAAATTATATTAGTGAAAATTCAGTTTAAAACGTAATGATATCAAAAGAGTGGATGTTGCTGCATTGTTTATTTATTTTGGGCTTCACCTTTTGCCAAAAGAACAAGAGGTCCAACCTGACCTCCCAGGAGATGGCATTCCACAACCTGGGAGAAGCCACGAAGTGTGTGAGATGGTAGAGGGATGGAAAAAACAGCCTCCCCTGAGTATCTTAAGAGTAGAAAAGACTCATATGGGAAATATGGTGCTGGACCCAAACTATGTAGGGCTTTATAGGTCATAACTGGCATTTTGAATTGGTCCTGGAAACAGATCAGCAGCCAGTGAAGCTGGTATAATAGAGGAGTGATATGTTTCAGTTGTTAAACTCATCCATCCAGAGACCAACAGATGTTAATTAGTGACTTAACAGTTCAACCCTGTGATCTACTTTTTTGGCAAGGAAGTACAGTAGGGGGACTGTGAGTGGAAAAGGACAAGCACTGTTGTGCTAGCATATTGTCATAATTCATAGGACAGTCACTTCAGTCTAGCCCCAGAATGTACATCTTGACCATTTCCAGGAGGTGCAACTTAATGGTTTCATTTCTGGATGCTGTGTGCCTCAGATATAAATGAAGACAAAGTGGTTAGATTAGGAACTAGAGATGATTTTCATAGGCAGAAAGCTAGAGCCATTTTAACAACTTAGGTGACAGCAGTCTACAGAGCAATGTGTGTAGTTGATCTGTGGGAGCAGCCCTTTATAAAGAATTTATAATAGAAAGCTTCCTGGCTTGACATATTACTTCTAACTGCTGCAAAGAAAACATCACTGTATATTTTCCACTGCATCAGTGGTTTATGTACAGATGGTGTAGAAACCTTGCCTAGTTTTAGGCAGACAGTAAATTCATATTTTAATGATTTTTAATGAGTGCTTGATTCTTCTCTCTGAGGTTTTTAATATCTCTGTTGTTAATCTGGTTCAATTTCTTTTAATTTTCTTTCCCCTTAGAAGCATTGTCTGAGCTTCAAAGATGGGTTACAAGTATTTTAATGATTAATAATATAATGCATTTAGAGAATAAACGAATAATTTACAGAGAATGGTACAAAACTAAGCTTTGAAGCAAAAGATGGGTGGTGTATAACTAGAAATGGACATGTGTGGTTGATGCTAGTTTACTGACATTTAACAACTTACGATAGAAGAAGACTGCAAATGGCTGGACTAATTCTGGATGGGAATTATCATTGCATTGTCTGTAATCCAGCCAGTGCGTTTTCCAGTGTGTGTATGAACTTGGCAAAAATATACACCCTTATTCCGGTAAAAAGTTTATTCTTTTGTCATCTACTCAGTTACTGTTCACTTTAGTTTTATCATTCATCAGTTTCTTTTCCAGTAAGAACTAAATAAGGATGCTACTGTTGGCAATTGCCAAGTGGCCAGCGCTGAGTTCCTATAAAAACAGACTCTTATAACTGAGCTCTTGTCTTATGCTGTTTAAAGAGAAATGTTATCATAAAGGATGTCTTTCTCTTTTTGACTGCAGATTAATAGCATTACATGCTCTGTTGTGAATGTGTGATTTCATAGGCTTGAGAATGAACAGCGTGTTCCCCAATTTACTCTGTGAGGGTTTTATTTCCAGGAAATTCAAGTCTGTTCCAAATAGAGAAACTCAAATAAAATTCTGTAACTTAGAATTCAAAATTCTAGAATTCACACAATTGGTGAACAACTAAATGTGGAAGTCCACCAAGAGTTTGAGAATCCAGCATCATTTTAAGGCATCTGCTCAGCTCTAGACCAACGGAATGGGTCTTCCTGCAGTTATCTTGTAGCGGTGCTTGATTTGGTAGTGAAGCGTGTTACTGATGCTTACTGCATATTGGATTGTACCATAAACAAACCAGACAAATGACATACAAATTGTGTTCTTTTAAAGCTGTTAAATAGTTTTCCTCTCTGGCTGTTTTCATTTCCAGTTAAAATGTGCTCAGTGGGAAGTACAGTAAGCTTCATTGGTGATAGTAAGGGCTTTTACTGATTTAGATTTCAATTATGAGGGTTAACTGCTCCTTTTCTAAGTCAAATCCACATTTTTCAGGATTCTGATGGATGTAGTGGACACTGAAGTCACAACAGTCATGATAAAATGTTGCTCCTTTTCTTCAGCCTATAAAGTACTGGGTGTTGAGGTTTCAGCTGCTTCAGAAATTCCTTAGTATTTCTATTGTTTGCTGAGTTAAGACATAAGACATAAGACATAAGAACCAGCTGCCTCAGAAATTCCGTAGTATTTCTATTGTTTGCTGAGTTATTAGTTTTATTTGACTGATAGCAAGATTTCCACCTTTTATTTGATTTCCAGGCAATATACAAACATAAAAGAACAATACAGTATTAGATGGCAAAAGCACTAGACACAGGAGACTGTTAATAGGGATGTGCATGGCTTCCCCGCCCCCCCCAAATACTTATTTCACTTCAAGTTCTTTAGGGGTGTTCCTATTACTTTTTGAAAGTTCCATGCATTGGTTCTCTTGCTTTACATGAAAGGGAAAAGACTCTTTCAGGTTTTCTCATTTATATTTTCTGGCACTAATACAAAAGTCCTAAAGTGCCTTTAAAAACTTCTCTAAAAACTCAGTGGCAAGACAGCAGAGAACTAATGTATGCCAAAATCAGACATCAGTAAGAAAAAACATCATTGAACTCATACTAGTTGGTACTATCACATTCAAAACAACGAAGTTCAGTGGTGCCTGTCCAACATAACCGTCTCTGTACCTGGGCAGCACGGGAAGGAAAAAGGCAAGAAAACAGTCAAACAGCCAATCAGCAAGCCAAGCACTACCTCTGTGGGACACAGGCTGCTTGGTACACAGAGATACCAATTTAATAGAGCAACCACCACCAACATAACACAATAGCAAGAAAGAAATGCCCCAAGCTCTGCCCAACTGACCACAGCACCCACCCACACAAGTCTAGTGGCACAGAGTTCCTCCCCCTCATGCCCACACATTTCCACACAAACACAACAGTTCCAAAGTCCCCACTAGGATCTAAATCTTTAGTAGAACCAAATAGAATAAATTCACATTAAATTAACCAAATAACAATTCTTAATGATCTGTCAAATAGGAAAAGTGCCTCCACACAAAAATAGCAAACAATATAGACCACATACAAACCTCTTCCCAAAAATCAAGAAAGGCATGCAGGAAAATAAAGGCAAACAAACAAACAGCCCACAAAATAATCAAAACCCATGCCTTGAACCAAAAGTACTAGAATTCAGTGGGTGGGGGAGTGGTTGCTAAAGAAATGGGAGGGGTTTTTAAAAAATCCTGAGGAGGCATGCTGGTACAAACAGGTTGCCTGGTAGCAGCAGGAAAAAACCCTCCATCCAAAATCAAGAAATCCCCCCCAAAAAGGAATCTAGAGTGGAGGGGGCAGGCAGCAGAGACAGAGATGTAGGGTGCACCTGGAGCCCAACAGATAATAATTCCCACTTATAAAGAACAACCGAAGCAAAAAGAGCATTCCTGATTGGTTTCCAGGCTCTTTTACGTATTCAAAATTGCCACTCATCCCTTCTGGAGGTTCTAAGAAGCTGCTGAAAACAGATACTATTGGATGAAAAATTTCTGAAGCAATTTGACAGACAAAGGGTGAAAGAAAGGTTACTTGAAAGAAGGAACACAAAAGAAGCAAAAAAAACCCACCACCTTTGTGTGCCCCTTTTCATCACCCCAAATCATCAATGTATAAGTGAACCTCTTCTGTGCCTTGGATCTTTCATTTAAATGTGAAAGTCCCATCCCTATTCCTTAGTCCAGGAGTCCCCAACCCCCTGGTCCGCGGCTTGGGGACAGCCTGTGACCATGGCAGGATGGGTCCGTGGAGACAGATTTCCCCCCCCCTTGCATGCATCCCACCCCACAGGTACCCTGCCCACCCGTGACCGTACCCCACCCCTCCACAGTTCAGAAAAAGTTGGGGACCACTGTCTTAGTCCATTAAAATTTGTTGAAATTTCTAGAAAAATAAACCACATTTTTGCGTTTCTCCTATATGATTATATTAGAGCCAGGCTTATTTTTTTTTGCACCGACCATTCCATAACTGGAATATTGCTGATCCAGAAAAAGTCCTTCCATTTTGTATTATCATTATCTCTATAATAAAGTGCTTAGGAAAGCCCATTGCCCATTATTTCTTTAGTTAATATTAGCTTAGTTTGTTCCCTTCATATAAATTCAAAACATGAGGAACATTTACTTCACCAAAACAGCATGAAAGACATGTAAACTACACCACTGATTTGAGTTCCTTGGGGCCTGAAGACTAGCTTTTATTTGTCTTCTTGACAAGCAGATACTTTGTAAATATTCTTTTCCTCCTCCTTTGCTTAAGGCTGAAAACATCCAAATAATTACGTGCAATGGACTGTTCTCAAAAATTTGCTCTAGTGCAGAATGTGACCCTGGTGCATTTAATAGTAATTTGACTCTAAGCACTTTTCATTTTCTTCTCTGCCTTGCTTTTGTATTCACAGTGAAGAGAGCTACAATGTCACAGATTATTCCTTAAGGGATCAACTTTTAGTTGAACAGTGTGAAGGCGAAGAACTGAATTTCTCTCCTGTAAAAAACAGCACACCTATGCTTTACTCTCGGCAGAGTTCTGCAAATCACCTCTTCAGATTAAATATCCTAAGTAACCATGCAGGAGAGAAAATTGAACTACTGCTGGGAACTGAAACTCAGTAAGTAAATAACACATTTTTCTTCAGTTCGTCTGTCACATTCAGGCTTCTAAAGTACCATTTATCTATTCATTAGAATGCAACGGAATATGTAGTTCTCAGATTCTGTTGTACTCTGTCCAGCCATTGTGCACAAATGATATGTGCATGGTTTTTTGGTGACCTGAGGAATAAGTGGGTTACCCAGTGTGGATAGAGTGATGGACTAGGACTCAGGAGGCCTGGGTTTGAATCCTCGTTCAGTCACAGAAGTTCCACTGGGTTTGTGGAACTGGTAAAACCACTCGTTAAATATGTTGAAACCCCTATTAGAGTTGCTGCAAGTTGGTTCCTACATCATGACATGTAACAGCAACATAAAAGAAAGAAATACCATAATTACTAGCAAGCTCTCTAGTTGTCATAAGACCACAAAAGTTTCCTGGCTGTGACAAAACAGAAAACTGTGGTCAGTTAAAGGATTATTGATCAAATTGGGATGTGTGAAGACTTGTGCATATCTGAATAAACTACGATGTGATTTTTGTAAACTGCCTCAGAATCAATAATAAACAATTCAAAAGTGGTAACTGACAGCCTGCTTTGCTTGTAATCCAGAAGCTGGCTTTTCAACGTTACTCTGCCACCGCATCCTAATATAATGACAAAACAGTGAAGGAAGGGACAGAAAGAAACAATTTCACAAGAAAACAAAAAATAATTTATGTATTTATTTAATTTGATTTTGGCCCCACCTTTCTCACCAAGAAGGGACTCAAGGTGGCAAACAAATTTTTTTAAGTTATTTAAAACAAATCAATCCAGATTAAAAATGCTTATATATATGGAGGTCCTTTAAAATGTGTGTGTGTGTGTGTGTAGAGTGTATTTATACTGGTGTATAAGACTACTTTTTGCCCTGAAAACATGGCTCCAAGTGGGGGGGGTCGTCTTATACGCCGGGTGCACTTCATTTGGGATAGACATAGCTGCCCATAGTGGCCTTCCGATGGTCGCCCAGTGTCCATAATAGCCTCCCAGTGCCTGCCCACCTCATTTTACATACAGTATCGTGCAAGTATCAGCAGCAAGACAGGGGTGCCAGCCTTTTTGACGTGACCAGCCCGTTCTGTATCAGCAGCGGGACAGGGGTGCCAGTTTTTCGACGTGACCAGCCCATTCTGCTCAGCAGGAAGCAGCGGTGTTCCGGCCCGCCCCTTGTCTGCACAGAGCTCACACTTGCGCACTAGTGCTGGTCACAGGGAGATACAGGGGCGAGCTGGAGGCGCTGCGGTTGCACTGCAGCCGTACAATGGTGACAATGAATAGCACCTTTTATTTGGTGTGTGGAAGGTGTCTGGAAGAGGGGGTAGTCTTATACCGCAAGTATATAACAAACTATATTTTGAGTGGAAATGTTGGGGTTCATCTTATACGCCCAGTCGTTTTATACGCCGGCAAATACGGTATACACACACACACACACACACACAAACACACACACACATTTAAAACATTATCCAAAAACTATAAATTTTAACATTTTAAAGGACCTCCCTATCTTCGGCAAATATGGTACACACACAATTTAAAACATTATCCAAAAACTATACATTTTAACATTTTAAAGGACCTCCCTATCTCAGTTGCCTCTTGGCTCCCTAAAAGCTTCTCTAAAGAGAGATGTTTCCAGCTTCTGGCAGAAAGAAAAGAGGGAAGGGCCAAACTGCCGTTCCTAGGCAAGGGAGTTCCATAGCATGAAAGCAGCCATAGAAAAAGCCTTCTTTTGCGTCTTCACCAGATGGGCTTGTGAGCATGGTGGGACTGCATTAAAGGCAAGAATATAATGCAAATAATTCACCTTTTCATGGGCAAATACGTTTTGTGACATGGGGATGGTGTTAATAGCAATTTTGTTCTCAAAGCAGTAATACATGGGATGTGTTCCCTTGTATTACAATGCCTATCAGGCTAATTAGCTTATTCTTCTGATTACATCAGAGTATATCCAAATGCATGATGTATCCTCACAATACTTTGAATAGGTGAGGTGGAGAGATACTGAGGGGCAAGAATCATCCATTAAGCAATGTTACTGGGCAAGGAACATAGGGTCTCCAAACTTATCAGTATGAGAGCCACATTATGTATTTTACACATTTTCGAAAGCCAAAGGAGGGAAGGGGGCACCCAAGCGATTCCCCCCCCGGACATCAGGGTGCGGGATCGCTTGGGTTGCCCTTCCCTCCTCTTCCTATGCCCAGACTGGATAAAAAGGGAAGGCAGGCTGGATGTGGTTTGGAGACTCCTGGATTGGAACATAGACCTCCCCAGTCCATGTGTAGTATTCTGACGCTACAAGACATTTGCTAGATGGTCAAATTTCAACATTCTCTTAGTGGCAAAATGTATTACACTCCTGGATTGGGGAGGGGAAAGGGATTTTCCTGTTTTGTCATTGGAAATTTAGGAAGAATGCTTTCTCAGAACTACTTTCTCAGTCATCTCTTTGGGTTGGCTCTCCAGTCTCTAGAAAGATTGTGAGAATCCTGCATTTAACATTGTAATCAAATATTGCAAGAAAAGAAATGAAGAATCTGAGGTTTATAGAGAAGCACTAGGAGGAGGCTTCAGGTTCCTAGTGACTGTTTTATGGACTTGTATTTTCGTGTACAGCTAAGTTATTCAATGACTAGTGGCACTAATCATTTAAGGTGTGCATTTTTCAGATCAGACAATAAGGAAGTCTTGTTACAGGATTGTTTACTCAGGCCAAAAAGTCTGCTGTGAAAGTGGGGATAAAATCCCCACAATGTTAGGGTTTGTTTTATTTTTCACTTTGTGGCTTGGTTCCACATCCCTTCCATATGTGAGGGTGTGGATAGCTGCTTATTCTCTCCAAAAGGGTGTTGAGGAGGGAAGCCTACTAGTTTGGTTTCTTTTACTTCAGATGTTAATAAAATCTACAGCAGGTTTTAACTCTGTAAGTACCAATTTACTTGAACACCGGTTACTCTTATGAAATTGTCTTAGAAGACCAGAGTCAGTTGCATTATAGGCAGGCTTAAGTACAGTGGTGCCTCGCTAGACGATTGCCTCATGGTACAAAAACCCCGCAAGACGATTGGTTTTTGCGATCACTATGGTGCCTCGCAAGACTTTTTTTCTGTGACCGTGCTTTGCGAGACTTTTTTTGTAGACCGAGCTTCACAAGACTTTTTTTTTTTGAAACTGATGCATAGGGAACTTCACAAGATGATTTTTTCACAAGACGATGATTTTTGTGGAACGAATTAAAATCGTCTTGCGAGGCATCACTGTATGTTTATAGTAGACCCATTGAAATCAATAGGATTTTTCAAGACTACCTTGTTATATTGATTTCAGATCTCCTCAAAGCATGACTTGGTTTGTATATTCATGTTAAAGTTGTGGCTTGAAGCTCTGAAACTAGCAGAGTTCTGACCTTTGTATGACACAAGCCCAATGTGTATTACAGTGGTTATCGCTTGTAAAACTGCTGTACCTGAGACAAAAACAAGTTGTGCCAAAACCAGTTTAATTTTCATATTAGAAAGCTATAAGATGTCTTAAATAAACACAAAATTTCACAAATGTAAATAGCAGGGCTAGCTAGAGGGCTGTGGATGTCTGCTTTGGTAGAAGTAGCCTTGGTCCCTTCCGTCAGAGAATACAGGCAAAAGAATAAAATTTAAAAAGTTAGGTTTAGAGACAAGAGATAGTCTTTCTCCACCTCAACATTTGATGTTCGCATCCCATAAACATCTAATTCATAAAAGAGTAGCCTTGTATTTGGGACTGGAAGGAGGAGAAATGACCCGATTTCCTTTTTCACTGGGTCTTTCCATCATGCAGAATCCAGGGCACAAACAAAAGGGGGAGGAGGGACATGAAGTCAAAAGGGACCAGAGGTTCAGTTCTAGCTTTGAATAAATGGTATATGGGGTATGAAATGGGGTGGGAGCTATTTAAAGGTAAGTTGCTATTCCTGGAACCTTCCAGTAAAGCAGTTGCCTTAAAACAACTGGCAGAAGGGAAGCCATGGGAATGGAGGGCATAGTAAGAGGGTGGAGAAAAACCTTCTGGGGGCTGTGTGTGACACACACACACCCAAGCTGTACTTTGCCCACAGCAATCCTACAACAAGAATATCCGGGGGGGGGGACCAAAGGAGTTTTATTTTAACTTTAATATAAAGGAGTTATATTTTAAAGGTCTTTGAAGTGCCACAAGGTTTTTGTCCTCTTCATTTTTTATTTATTTTTTATTTTTTGCCTGATATGCTAGCACAGATTAACACGGCTACCTCTTCTAGAACAAGAATAAGCACCTATGTGGTTGTTGTGGGTTTTTCGGGCTCTTTAGCCATGTTCTGAAGGTTGTTCTTCAATCTTCCTCTGAAGATGCCGGCCACAGAGACTGGCAAAACGTTAGGAAGAACAACCTTCAGAACTCAGCCAAAGAGCCTGAAAAACCCACAACAACCATTAGATCCCGGCCGTGAAAGCCTTCGCGAATACAAGCACCTATGTCTTTGCGTAGTTCTTTGCATTTGACCACAAGATTCAAATAAAAGGAATATCCAGCCAAAACAAAAGAAAAAAAATAAAGAAGTCAAAAACATTCTGGTACCTTAAAGCAGTGGTCCCCAACGTTGGGCCTCCAGATGTTCTTGGACTACAATTCCCAGAAGCCTTCACCACCCCCTCTGCTGGCCAGGATTTCTGGGAGTTGAAGTCCAAGAACATCTGGAGGCCCAAGGTTGAGGACCACTGCCTTAAAGACTAACTGCTATATTTTAATGTGAGCTTTCATGAACCAGTCCATTTCCTCAGACAGAAGAGGGGGACTACCTTCTAACTAGTATTGAGGTCCTATACTAGAGGGCTTTATAGGCCATAATCAGCACCTTAAATAACTTGTACATTAATACCTTTCCAGATAGCATTGCATATAGTGAGGGAATTTTGAGAGCTCAGAAATTGTAAGACTAGAGTTCTTTGCAGAAAGAAAAAAAGCCAGGTCAAGAGAGGTAGTGGTTTTATTGAATCAACTAGAGACAGTTATTGTACTTATTTCATTTTGTGTGTTTGCTTGTATGATTGTGATTAAGTTTTGATGTCTTGTGAACCACTCAGAGCGTGTTCACACTGTTGCAGTTGCATAGAAGTTGAAATAATGAACGATAACTAAATGTGAAATAGAGAGAAAGCATTCCTTTGGATGCTTCTCACACAGACAGAAAGAAACTGACAGGCACCTTAGAGTAGTAGCTACATACACACAGGACTGGAGAGGGGCAGAATTCCACTTAAAACATTCTGATGCAGGTACACATGTGATACAAAGTACTGTTGACAAAGAGTGGGTTGGAAATATTTAAATGAATAAATATATTAATGTCAAACTTTGTACTATTTCATTGATGAGTTGCAATTCAGGTCAATGATTTTTTTTCTTTAGAAATTACACAATATGACATTTCAGGAACTTTTGACTTTTGAAAAGAGTCTATAAATTTTCTTGAGGAAGATTATGGGCTATTGTGTAGATAACCCTTTTAATCCTGTAGTTTCCACAGAGACAGACAAAATCTTTGAGTTTCATAGAAAGCTATTTGGATGCTAACAACATTCCAAGGAAAGGAATTTTTGTTGTTGTTGGGATTTGCACCAGTGAAAACAAGATGTTTCTTGTTCGTGTTGCCTAAATCTGAACACTCCTTGAAACTGATCCAAGAAAACAACTTTGAACCCTCTCCTTTTAGGATTTCACTATCCCCCATTCTTCATTCACTAGACAGTTTCCATGGATTCACTGAGCCTAGTATTGAATACTTGAACTACAGTGCTTAATTAAGATGAAACTTGTTTTAATTGAAACCTATACCAGCCATAACAACACTGCATAGATACCATTTTTATCAATAAAACAGTGAATGCTATCACTTAGACTGAATCCCAGCTCTCAGTGAACCATTACAAGAGCTAGAACACAGTCAATTATCTTAACTCCTACTCTGACATAGATTTCAGATAGCCATTTTCTATTATAGAAATGCAGAGGTTTTAACTTTTCACCACCAAAACAAAAAACGAAAGAAAGAAGAAGAAGAAAAAAACAGAAGTGTCTTGGGGCATCATGAGGTCTAACCAATTTAATTAAACAGAATCCAAAGGAATAAAATCTCAGTCATAAGAAGAGCAAAGCTTATTGTTAAAGACATGCAATGGAAGGTTGGTTGGTTGGTTTTGTCATTGGTTTGTGGCAACCTCATTAATTTCACATGTCATTCATTACTGTCTCATTCGATTTGTTTCACTTCAGTTACTGTTTCATTAGTTTTTCAATTCTTGATTTATTACAATAGGGAGCTAGCTTTCCATCTAAAGGGCATGTTTTCAGGTGCCCGAAATTATCAGTCTAGTTCATTGTTCTGACATGCACCCACAAATTTTGTAAAAGAAAGTACAAATTTCTGCAATGAAGGCAGGCAAGTTCATACATCTGGCCCCTGAGAGTGGGTTTGGTCTGTGCATCTCCCTCTTTTTGCCCCAGTCACCCATTTTGTGCAAAAACCCTACGCCAAGCCTTCTATGTTCCCAACTTTCAGATGTATAAGAAAATTCCTAAACAGCCCAGACTCCTTTCCCCAGCTCTTGTCATACTTGAAGTCTTGTAAGACAAGAGAAAAGACAATTCTCATTCTTCACCACGTGACAATCTTAGACCTTCTTGGTCATTCTGTCTGTCCCTTTTCTGTGCTCATCATATGAATTGGCAACTATCCAGATGCAATGGGGAACTATTAGCAATTTTTCTGAGAAAAGGTTCACTTGCACCCATATCAAGGCCTTCTCTTTGATGGTGGAAGCCCTTCCATTTCCACTATGGCTAAAGCCTCACACCATCTTGCAAAGAAGCAAAGTCCATCATCAGCAAAATAAATAAATAGCCATCTTCTTGCAGCAGCTACCTCCCTGTTCATTGTAGCCTGAATAGTAGCATTCATGTCCTTCCTGGGCTTAATCTAAGGGCTCGCTCACACCTGGCAAAAGAACCCTAGTTATACCAATATGACTGTTTTTTAGATTGTTTCATAAATTTCCAAGCACACAATGCACAGCCACGATCGACTCATCTTCCCAACCAGTGGTTTATTTCTCATTCGCCAGGAGGGTTGTTTTATTTTGTACCAATGATGAATCAGTTCATTTCTTATCATTTCAGCTTGTGTGAACATTGCTGTTGATTTATTTTCTTTGCAAGGGGGTTGAGTTTCTGGACACTCTGACCAATTCATGGCCACTGTGCTTGTAACCTGCTTGAGTTTTAAAAATTCTTTTAAAGGTACATCAACACATCAGCAGTAACAGCCACTGCTGCTAGCAAAAACAAGGTGAATACATTGCTCAGAAGGAGACAGCTCGAAGGATATAGCCTTCCCTCCCTTGCAAATAAAAAAGGGCTAGGGCAGAGACATTTCCTGCTTTTTATTGTAAATAAAGTGTTGCATTTCCTCTCTTTTTTGACCCTGCTATTCAAGATACTTTTGTGAGTCTTTCAAAACCTGTTTCCTCCTCCCAACACTGTGCAAAAGACTTGCTGTCGATTTATTTCCTTTACAAAGTTGCGTAAAGGAGAGAAGGGAAAAGTGGGGAAGAGAGGAGCTTTACTTCTCCGTTGCACTGTTGATGTATCATTTTTTTGTTTGTTTGTGTTTGTTTTTAAGGACAAGGGGGTCCTGATTGCCCCAAGAAACAGTAGAGAAAATGAATTGATACAAAATTAAGAGTACTGTAGCTTTCTCTAATGGTTCAAATAGAAAGAAATGTATTAATACAATTTGTAAAAATGTGAATGCTCCTACTAGTATATATCCCTTGTGACCACAAAATTAAATGTATGGATACAACAGAGGTATGGAAAGATGTGGTATAATTGGGGTTCTTTTGGCAAGTGTCCCATGATTCTTGCCAGTCCTTGCAATCATCCTTGGCCCTCCAACTCAATGACAAACAGCAGCTTTCATCCATATCATCTAGAACCAAGAAATCATCTTCCACCTTCAAACATTGTCTTTGATTCCCAGACTCCTTACATTTACTTTTCTGTGTGTCAGTTGGTCTGGGACAGCCATCCCAGCAGCCACTGTTACATTCATTCATTCATTCATTCATTCATTCATTCATTCATTCATTCATTCATTCATTCATTCATTCATTCATTCATTCATTTAACTTATATGCCGCCCACTCTACCCAGGGGTCTCTGGGCAGCTTACAACAATTAAAATTCAATAAAAAATAAAATGATTACAATACAATTAAAATTGCCATCAGGACCCACAGTTGATGTTATTTCAATTAAAAGCCTTCTGGAACAGGAAGGTTTTGACCTGGCGCTGAAATGTCATCAAAGTTGGCGCTAGACGAATTTCAGTTGGGAGGGCATTCCATAGTCTGGAAAAGGCCCTTTGTCTACAAGCCGTCCCTCTTACTTCCTCGAGGGACGGCTCTTTCAAAAGGGCCCCCTGGCTAGATCTTTACTGCTGGGTAGGCTCATCTGGTGGTCCATCATCAAAATCAGTGAGTGATTTCCATTGTGTCATATTACATAATAAGAGTTTGAAAATCAACCTTCTAGTAGGTGAAAGTCACCCCTTTTTAATAGTGAAACTTTGTATAGCTTGATGAAACATTTTTGAGCTAGATTCATGCACACACTTTCTCATCTGGAAAATAAATTTCTAACTTCTTATATGTGTCATAAACCACCTTTGATATATAATTGGGATTTCAAGCTTTAAAAAGCAAAATTACCTTATTTTCTGAAAAGTATTCCCTTGTTGCATGACTCATGTGAATAAATGAGATTCTTTTTTAACAAAGGTCATGGAAAGATCATGTTCTACTGAAATAAGCTTTGCACAGTGCTGGAGCACAATGTCTTATATATCTTCATTTATAAATGGGTTTAGCTTAACCATTTATATGCATGATTTGGAAGAACATAATCCTAATCATTTATTTATTTGTCAAAATGCAGCATAGATCATTTTTAGTTCATTTGGCAGGATGTACATGTATTAAATTATTTTTAAAATTTATTAAATGTACATTTAATAAAACAACAAACAAACAAAAATCTGTGCAGATCCAGCTGTAGGATCTGCTTTCTGGATTTCTGTTTTGATTGATAAAATGAGCTCTTCAGAGAGAATATAAGTATATTTTCCTACAAAGGTGAAGGAGGATTTGAATTCAGGGAGCACTATGATATAGAGACTCCCATTTATCAATCCATTATTTTCTCTTTCCCTTCTCAGAAATGAACGGGCTCGCTGGATTACTGCACTTGGTCAGAGCAGTGATAGACGTACTATGGACAGAACAAGTAAGTTAGCCATGAGAAGGTTCTTCAAGACTTTGATGCAACCCTGAGCTTAATGGACTACTTATGAAAGCATTATGAAGCAGTTATGAAAACTTAAACATAGTTTATATTTTATTTTCCATGTAAATGCAGTTTTTCAGTTGTCCGATTACTATATATTAAGCAGGGATGCAATACAGTTGTCATCTTTTTGTTTTCATGTGAACACATGAAATTGCTCTCAAACTGAATTGCTAAATCCTGTTTTTTCGTAGCACTGACCCAAGTAGAAGTCATCAGATCATACACTGCCAAACAGTCAGATGAACTATCCCTCCAGGCTTCTGATGTAGTTCTTGTCTACCAGAAAGTGAATGATGGTGAGTGGACATCCTTCATATTTAGCTACCATGGCGGCTTTCAAAAGCATTGTGCGGCTATTTAGTGTCTGCTGCAATGTGTACCACAGGAAACCATGACCTAAATTCAGAGGGAAATCTACTAATGGAACTGCTTCCCCTGTTGTATATTTCTGCTCGTAATGGACAGTCATAGCCCAAGCTATTATCTTGATTTCATACCAAATGTACTGACAATGAGAGGGTTGATTGAGAGGTAATACGGCATAGCAGTTGAAGTACTGAGCTGAGATTTCAGTATCAGATTCAATTTTCTTCTGAGCCATGACATTCACTAGGTGACCTTCAGCCAGTTATTTTGTCTCAACCTAATCCACCTCAATGGGTTATGAGGATGAAGTGGGCAGATAAAGAGGCGTGCGTGCTGCCTTGATGTCTCTTGAAGGCATATTTTGTATATATATCTAATAAACAATAATAAATCTGCCTGGGTAGCTCAGTTAGTTAGGTATCTGACTGTGGAGCCAGAGTTTGAGAGTTTGATTCCCCACTGTACCTCCCCGCAGAAGAGCCAGTCAGTGCCTTGGGCACCCCCTTCCCCCCCAAGAAAAGGAGTGGTAAACCATTTCTGAGTCCTTTATATCTAGAAAATCCTGAACAGGTAAGTCTGCCATAAGTCAGAATTGATTTGATGGCATGTAATTGTTATTATTCTAACAGTAATAGCATGTGCAAGAATGTCAGATACAGTGCTTTATCAATTATAATAGTACATTGGCTTTATTTTTAAGTGAGCCAATGAAGATCATACACTGCCAATTTTTAAGTGAGCCAATGAAGAGCCAATAAATTATAAATCCATTAGGTTAATGTGTGTCCTAAGTAAATTAGTTGAATACATTATTAAAGATAAAACGATGAAATATAAAAAGAAGTCTTAATGAGGGGAAATTAGCATGAATTCTCCAAAAGGAAGACCAGCCTCACAAATCTTTTTAAGAGTACCATTGAGAATACTAAGAAGCATTTAATCTGCAGTTGATACTGTGGAGTAAATCCAGTACTGCAATGAGCACAACATGACACTTTCTTTTCCCACCCACCGCCCTTCTCTTAGCTCTCTCTGCTGCCAGAATCCTGATCCAGATGGCAATCCAGCCTGTGAAGCAAGTTATTAGCATGTCCAGGATTGTGATTCTGCCAGTTCTGTTGTTGGAAGCAGCTTCGGTCAGCATTCCACTGGATCCTGTCCTATAGATTTGGATCCCAAAATGCTTTTGATAAAGTTGGTTACCAAAACTATTGAAAGTAAATTTTGCAGCTGTGGAATGAATCATGTAAAGGATCACCAACATATTAAATGAGAAGCAATTAATGGACAGTTTTCAAATGTCTTGACAGTTCATGAGGGAATGACTCCTGCAATATGATTGTCTTTCCCTTAAGACAGTGGTCTGGGAACAGGGGTAAATTACCCCAAATGGGGTAAAAATGAAAATCCTGGGGGTAATGAGCAAAGCCTACCTTGTAAGATTTTGAGCATAACCTTGCTAGCGTGTGAAATGAGTGCAATTGTACGGTAGTTGGAGCATTCTTTGGCACTGCCCTTCTTTGGGATTGGGATGTAGACTGATCTTTTCCAGTCCTCTGGCCATTGCTGAGTTTTCCATTGATGATGATAAAAAAAATAGTGCACTGGTCTTTGATGTTGGGCTGTGGCACCAGGGTGGGTGACATGATCTTTAGCCTGGTTTGTTCCTTTTTGCAAACCACACACAGAATGATTAAGGTGGTAGGAAAAGCCCCCCCCCGCCCATTGCTAGCACCACTCTGGCAGCCATTGATGATAATTAAATCTTCTACAAGCTAGCAAAAATGTAATGCAGCTTGCTAGGCACATTGGACACCTTACTACTCCCTATACCACCCCATGGTTGGTGTGCAATATGTTCCAGCAAAAACAGTGCACATCTTTAGTAGATTTGGTGCATCCTGCTAGTTCGGTACATAGCCTGGCAGCCATTGATACTTATGATATATCCTGCTAGTTCAGTACACAGCTTTTGTAGATTCAATAATATTTTGAATTCAAATAATGTATGATTTCCTTACTTTCAAATCAAGGGGGTAATGTTGGCGTATATAATTTTTTTTGGGGGGGGGTAAAAGGTAAAAAAGAACATCGGGAGGGCCACAGTTCGACACCACTGTGCTAGTGGAACTCTTTTGCACATACCTTCCAAGGTGTACAGTTGGTGGCAACATAGCAGAAGGCCTTTTCTATAGCAGTAGCTATTCTGTGCAAATACTTCCCTAAGAACATAGTTTGCCATCTTTACTGATTCCAGCTGGGCCCTTTTGCTTGAAGACTTTGATCATTCACTAAAATTGTTGACCATTATTGTAACCCCTATACTAAACAGAAGCACAAGTATAGCTCCTATACTAAGCAGAAGCAGAGCACTGTTGTTTGCTATTTAACTAGATATCAACTTTAACCAGATTTAACTAGAAGTTTAGAAGTATGTATTCTGTTGTTAACCATTTTAAAAAAAACTATGCTTATTATTATTAATATGATTCCTTTTGGATTGTGTTAGCTGCTTTAAATGCCTCAGTAAAATATAGGGAAAGTGGGGCAAAGTTATCAGGGAAATAAACAAACAATAGTGGAAAGAAGACAGCAATGTAGCCCTAAGGTAATAGAAAAATGTAGTCTTCAGATTACTTTTCTGGGCTGTTTTAGTCATACCAGGTGAAACTGTACAGGGCAGCTGTTGCTAGTTGAGTCAGCTTTAAAAGGGTTGCTTCTTTGCGTGCAATTTGTCTCTTTTGGCATTTGAATTGATCTTTCTGTACTCACACAAACTTGTGTTTATGTCAGAACAAGAAACTATATCTCAGATCAGTGCAGTTGTCACAGGAATCACTAGTAGCCCATCCTGCTCTGTGTCTTTAACACTGCCCTCTGCCTCACCTCTTCCCTGCCTTTGCTAACTTTTCCTTTAGAACTTGAAATAGCATTGAATTGTACCAAAAAAAAAAAAAAACCCCAAAACAAAACATCCACAAATAAAAAGTTTAGATGGCTTTTGTGTCAGAATGTCAGTGTGGCAGCTAAATCACATTTATAAAAGAAACAGTATTTCTTTTAATTTTCTATTTTGTTTATTTGTAAGTGACATAGAATTGATCTGCAAGCAAACACACACACACACAAACACACACACACACACCAAAAGAGTTTGGAGCAGACCACAGGAAAGAGGATGTTCCCCCTTCCCTTCATTTCCCCCCTCTCTCTCTCTTCGTTTCCCTCCACTTCTACCACTGAGGCAGTGTTGTACACTGGTTTGAATTGAACTTTCCTTCACTGTGAAAAAGGACATGGGGTTTGGGTGGCTTTTTGGTTTCAGGTGTTCAGAAAGTCTTTGGAAGGGCCATAGCCAGGAGCCCATTATGGTTTGAGTGGTGGTGGCTGTGGCAGCAGCAGCAGTTGAATCATCCTGCACCTACTTAAGCAAATGCTTGAAGGGGCAAGGGGGCTGGCCAGCCTGCTGGCCACAAAGTCCCAGGGAGGTGCATTTACAGAGAGTTCCTCCAGACCTTGAGAATGATATTTTTCTTTCTGCCTGTTTGTGCAACACCGTGTCCTCTGGTGTCTCCCCTTTTGTTTACAACCCACTCTGGACAGGGCAGGAAAATGAAATTGCAGGGGTGCAACTGAAAACATTTCTGCCACCTTTAAACTTTGCCACAGGCAAGGATTGTTGCCTCTGTGGGCCTTTCCTTTCCAAAGAATCCAACAGCCTTACACTGACATGCCTGTTCAAGATGTCATTGTGGGATACCACACCCACACACTGTCACTTTAGTACTGTACACTATTGACCATCAAACGTGCTTGAAAACCGAAATGAAACATCAGGGTCACAACATTTCAGAAAAGGAGATAATCGCCAAAGATCCAAATAGGCATGGAAAAAGATGAACTGATTTGTGATTAGCTTTATGCTGAATTGTCCCCAGAGAAGGTGAAACGTAACACACTCCAATAAGAGAACAAAAAGGGGGGGAATATATTGTAATGTAGTCACTCCCTCAGAAACATTTTATTGGCCGCAGAGCAACATAGAACTCTAAACCAAGCACACCTTCATTTGATTAGCAGAGTCTTTTTTAAAATGAACTCTTCTCATGCCTTTTTAATGTATCATATTTATTATTCTTTATTCCTTTGCAGGCTGGTATGAAGGAGAGCGGTTACGTGATGGAGAAAGAGGATGGTTCCCAATGGAATGTGCCAAAGAGATCACATGTCAAGCCACAATTGAGAAGAATATGGAAAGGATGGGGCGCTTGCTAGGCCTAGAAACGAACGTATAGCCTGTTGCTGCAGTATATGTATGTACTTTAGAATTTGCACTCAGTGAGGGCTGGGTCAATTTGGCCACCTCCAGATGATTACTTTCCAGCTATGGTGTTTTAAAAAGGGATATGGTTTTTGCAACTAAAAGAAGACAACCATAAAGAGAGAACATGCAAGTTGGCCTTGTTCAGTAAAAAAGGAATAGCAGAATGAATTATTTTTTTAAAAAATCATTTTAATTAAAAACCATTTTCACAATTCTATGAAGCCTCAAAGAACAATCACTTGAACTTCCCAGGGGAACAGACACTTGAATTTTAATTCAAGTACACCACTTTTTAAAGTAAAGTTCTAGATTCCATCCAGTTCACATTCTGTTTTGATTTACTGGACCCCCTTTTCTGTAAAAAATTGTTTCAACCCAACGTGGGATACTGATACGCAAAAGCACCCTTCCATTATGTTCTGATGCTGTGGATGTGTGTATCGTGACCAAATCAGCTGGATATGTTCATTTCTTGATGTGGAGCTAGAGCGGAAGCATGTAGAGTTGAGTGTACAGTTATTATGAAGTTTCACTGAGGGTTGAAGAGCTCAGGTAAATGTTGAACTAATGATATCAGTAGAATTTACTGGGTTACACAGGTGGTTTTCATTTCTTTCCCACAATACTTGTATCTACGCGTTTTGTATAGCATTTATTTGTAGTTTTTCCAATTACATGTTTCAGTCATCTTAAGACAAAGCAAGCTGTTCTGTGTTACTGTAAAGGACAGTCAGACGGCAGCAAAGAACTAAACAAAGTTGACAATATTTATTTATATCCTACCTTTCTCCTAATAAAGGGACACTTCCTGTTTGGCAAATATACACAAAGTTCTGATCAAGCAGGAGACACATAAGGTGCAGCTAAAACTGAGAGCATGGGTTTTCTTTTGATTTCAGAACACCAGCATTCTAGGGTTATTAGAAGTAACTCTTTTCATCCAATATATATATGAAGGAAGCCCACCGTTAGCCTAGGTCAGGTAGCTTAAATTTGAGCAGAATTACAAAAACTCAGGCTTCAGATTTTAAATAAAAAATATTCTAAAACAACAAAATCCACCAAGACACAAAGATACCCAGCTTATGTCCAGGGGACGTGTTTATAGTGTATCAGCCTTCGTTACTTTCTATCCAGTGGTTGAAATTAACACAGTGACTACGTTTGTACTAGTTATCTTATTTAGCCTGTTTCAAAACTGAAGTAGCTTGCTCTTTAGTTCCAAACTAATTATGGAAAATGCTCCATCCAATTTATGGACAAATTATGTCCTGCCATAAGTGCAGCTACAAACTTCCAAGCACTTGGTTAGTTGTCAACTCATTACTTCTGATGTCAAGTGATATTCTAAATGTTTCCCTCCTCAAAATTTGCCAAAAGATTGATCGCTTTGCATTTGACCAGTATTTTTTATGTTGTTTTTCTTTCTTTTTCATATGCTTTTCTATGTCATCTTTCCCAGCAAAGCCGATTACCAGATCATGGTCACACCCTTTCCAGTAAACAACTGTCCACAAAATAATTTACCTGTCCCTGACATCTCACTGCATTCCTACATACATTTGCTTTTTTCTTATATTCTTTAGCTGCACCCACACAGAAAGTCAAGCAATCCAGTCAGGGAACCTCACAGGAAGAAAAAAAAACCACTACTATACTCTGTCCTTGGCCAATGTTACTTATGAGAAAGAGAACTCATATTGATCAGTCATCAGCCTGGGCTGTGATAACAGACTGAAAACACTATACTATTTGTTACTTTCCATCACTAATGAGAGAATGGCATGAAGAATTTCTGTCAAAATGCTTCTAAAAATGCTTATTACACTTGACGGTAACTAGCAAATGTTAGTCATTAAACCCACAAAGAAACTTTGACCCTGTTGTACTGCTTTTGAAATGTCACATCATTACACCTTCATTACTCACTCCTGAGTAACTAGCTCAGGTAACCACATGGCTTGTGACTTCTAAGCTCTGTACTTAGAGTATATCAAGGACAGCTGCTTTGTATTAATGTCTGTACTATTTCTGGGTTGGAACGCTGATGAAGCAATGCAGAACTTGTTTTCTGTTGTATTGAATGAGATAAAAAGCAAATACTGTACTGTATATGTAGGACTGATGACTTGTGAGTGTGGGGACATGATCCCTCAAAACCCAAATGCTACAAGGAGGTAGCAGTGGACCATCCCTATAAAATACCTTTACAAACCCTTACCTACCTTATTTGATTTCTGTAAGATTAAATAGATCATTCACATGTATTTTTGATCACTATGTATGGGTGTAAAAACTGGATAGTAGAGAAAGCTGACAGGGGAAAAATTGTTTTGTTTAAAATGTCATAGTGGGGGAGAGCTTTGAAGACGGACTTGGGGTGCCAAAATGACAGAAAAGTGGGTCTTAGATTTTGTTTAAAATGTCATACCGGGGGAGAGCTTTGAAGACGGGGCGCCAAAATGACAGAAAAGTGGGTCTTAGATCAAATCAAGCCTCCACTATTTCTGGAGGCAAAAATGTTGAAATGGAGGCTGTCCTTTTTTCGGTGCATCATGAGAAGGCAGGATTATCTGGAAAAGACAATAATGCTGGGAAAGTTGAAAAGCAACAGGAAAAGAGGAAGACTGAATACGAGACAGACTGACTTCCTAAGGGAAAAGACAGGCTTGAGATTCCAAATGCTGAGCAAGGCAGTTGAGGACAGATCTTTTTGGAAATTGCTCTTTCATAGGGTTGCCATAAGTTGAAGATGACTTGACAGTGTATAACAATGTCTGGGATCTGTACATCAGACATATCATGACTGAAATTAATGAACAAGCAAATTTTGGTATTACCAATTTTTTAAAAAATTTAACCTCAGTTTTATTCTTAGTAAACAAATAAAATTATCAGGAGAAAGTGTTTGAAGGATATTTTGAAGCTCATGATAGTAACAGAATTTGCTATATCTACACTTAACAGTTGTTGTGAAATTAATTTTTATTCAAATATAAGGTACAGATATAATGGTGAAAGTAGAGTAGTTAACCAGCTGGTTTTAATAATTTCAGAAAAATGGAACCTTACCTAGCCAAACAAAGGAAATATTTTGCTGTGATTTGTGGTGAAATAAGTGTTTCCCTTATGGAATTCTCTGATATTATGACATTATCTCCTTAGGTTTAATGCTCACATTCCTTTGCTTTCTTTGGCTGTTATTAGCAGTGATCGAAAAAACTACAGAATGCCTTGGTGGTGGTTGATTGCCTTGATAAGCCTAAATCCATGTCACTTGATTTTTAAACCTTTTGACAATTTAAATAGCTGAATCTTTGGCCTTTCATGTTAATCTGTAATTCATAAGCTTTGTGTGAACCTCAGTATACTAGGCAGTGACACTTCTTCCTTTCTTCAGTTCTAGGCTTGCCAAGAGTTTCCTACTAGCATCTTTTGATCACAGTTCCTGAAATACATTTGTTGGGCTGAAGCTTGTATTTCCTTCATTCACTTTATCGGTACTCAACCTTCAGTTTGCCTGTCCTAATTTCTTCCTAGTCCAGTGCCATCCTAATGACTTCATAGAGTCTGTGTCTGTCTTGGTGTTAGTCTAATGCTTTGATTAGGCAGCGGCACTTCCTTCATGTATGTGTATTGGAAGGGGGAGTGAATAATTTGGGCCCACCCTTTAGGTTATAATTGAATTTTGATTTGTCTGAGTTGTCTAGTTTGTTCTGTCTTTACACGGTTAAGTCTTAGAGCAGAAGCAGCACACATGAATCAGAGAGCAACACAGTGCAGAAAAACAGTACATGTATTAGCAAATTTTAAGTGCGTTGAATTTTAAAGAAAGGGTTTTTTAAAAAGCCTGGACCTATTTATATGAAAATTGTCAAGATATGTGAATTTATAACAGGCTACAATGCCACAAATTTAATGTATTTATGTGAAAAAAATTTGCAAATGTTTGGAAATTTTCTAAATAGCAAGAACATTTCTTCATAACATGTTTCAAATTTCATGCTTATCCTTGGAAAAACTGAAGGCAGCTGCATTTTACATTTTCAAGTACATACCAGTGGGAGGCATGCGAGTTTGGATTTCCAACTGTCAATTAGGTACCAGATCAGAACTGGATCAGACCAGACCTGAAGCACTGGGCCACGTCTCTAAACTAATTCAGGGGACTCTTGCACAGCCCTGATCTGAAGTATAACTAGCTTTCTACCACTTGAGGCTATTAGTTTGTGGCCAGTATACTGTATTGTCCTCCTGTCTCCCACAGAGGAGACATTGTATCACATGTTTAATGTCTTATTATACATTGCCACTTTGCAGTTTGACACCAATTTATGTTGTCAAGCCAAGATGTAAATAGGAATTAATTTGTAATCACGTTTGTAATTAATTTATAAATAGAAATTAATTTGCAGTGCATTTCCTTTTTATGTAAATAGGCATGACATTTTTTGGATCACATGTTTTTTAAGCATCTTTTTAAATCTTGATATTGCCTGTCATTAAGAGAAATCATGCAAAATGAAAAATGTAAGAGCCTTTCTGGTGTTTTGATAGATGGAAACTGTATGATACTTTTTGTGTAACAGATCGGACAATGAATAATTCTATAGAGTTAAGGTTATACAGTCATCTTGCATGTCGTGATTACAACCGGGCAGGACACTGAAGTGACTGCTATAAGGCAAACAGAATGATCAAGCGTACAAAGTGTATGTTCTTAAAAATGTGTTCTAACCAAGCTCTTCCATGTTGTTGCCTATATTTTGAGCAGTGTTGTGGGCAACAACCCGTACTACGCTGTAAACAAGACTATCTAGATGTGTATCATCCTACATGTAAATAAACCTGTTTCCACATCCATGCAACAGATGGTACAATTGTGTTCCTTAAAAGCATAGAGGTTACTAAGAGATGAAATCCAATGTATGTTTGGCACATCTAAAATCTGTTACTGTGCTTATGGAACTTAACAATTTTCAGAAGATACGATCAATATGGACAGAGGGGTTGTGGCCTTTAAAGGACAGAAGAAATAAACTTACTTGCATACCCCATTTTTCCTGGTCTACTGATGTGTGCTATGCCAATATAGTTACCATGCTTGAACTCCTCTTGCAGGAACTCAGCATCCTCTGAGTTGAACACAGAATGGCTTCTCAACAAGTGCTATCCCATATTCATGTTGAGAGAACAGCCTTGTAACCTTGTATTTAACTGTGGTTTTAACATTAATCTCATGAGGCCCTTATCTGGAATACAAGGTACAGCTTAGGTATGTTTTCAGACAGTTTCTTTCAATACAGTGGTGCCTCGACTTACAAACGTTCCGACATACGACCATTTCCAGTTATGACCCACTCCGGTCACAAAATTTTGCTTCTACTTGCAACTGGAGCTTCGAGTTACAAACATAAAAAGACAGGGGGAAAAGTTGGGGAATTTAAATTGCTAACCGTTGGTGGCAAAGAGGCTGCTTCTTTGTAGCTCTTTCGTTCCAGCATAGTGTGCGATTGGAGGAGGCATCAGACTGCCTGATAAGGTGCTGCTTTCTACTTTTAAAAAACTGTTCTAGGTGGGTTTTGCAGCGTTTTGGGCTGGGTGGCGGGACTATGTTTCTATGCTGTAATGAGTCTTGCAGGGTTTGTTTTTTGGTGTTTTTTTCCCATTTCCGATGAGTCCCACAGCGTTTGTTTTGTTGTTGTTTGCATTTCCAATGGGTCTTGCACTCTGTTTGCTTTTTGGTTTTCTTTTTTGTATTTCCGATGGGTTGTGCAGGGTTTGTTTTCTTTTTGGTTTTTTCCCCCCCCGTTTGCCAGAACAGATCAATCATGTTTCTGATGGATCTTGCAGCGTTTGTTTGCTTTTCTGGTTTTTTTCCCTTTCAGCCAGAACGGATTCATCACATTTCTGATGGGTCTTGCAGTGTTTGTTTTTGTTTTAGTGATTTTTTTTCCTTAGGCCGGAACAGATTAATTGCATTTCAATGCATTCCTACGGGAAATGGTGCTTCGACTTACAACCATTTCAAGTTGCTACCAAAGTTCCGGAAGCAATTGTTTGCTTTTCTGGTTTTTTTCCCCTTCAGCCAGAACGGATTCATCACATTTCTGATGGGTCTTGCAGTGTTTGTTTTTGTTTTAGTGATTTTTTTTCCTTAGGCCGGAACAGATTAATTGCATTTCAATGCATTCCTACGGGAAATGGTGCTTCGACTTACAACCATTTCAAGTTGCTACCAAAGTTCCGGAAGCAATTAAGTTCCTAAGTCGAGGTACCACTGTAGAGTATTTAATGTAAAGAAACTGAGTGTTAAAACATTTCACTGCTTCATCTCTAGGAAGGTACTGCATGAACTCCAACAACAGCTTTTGATGCTTTCAAGTAAATACAGTGGAGCCTTGCAAGACGATGTTAATTCGTTCTGCGAAAATCGCTGTTAAGTGAAAACATCTTGCGAAACATGTTTTCCCATTGAAATGCATTGAAAACCTGATAATCCGTTCCAATGGGAACAGATTGTCATCGTAAAGCGAAAATTGCCATAGGAAACATCGTTAAGCAAAACGCGGTTTCCAAGCGAAGACAGCTGTCTAACGAAACAGAGACCATTAAAAGACTTGTATAGTGAAGCAAGACCAAGCTGTCAAAAACATCGCAAAGCAAACAACAGGGACCTAAAATTTAACCGACTTGCGAGGCAAGGTCCCTAACATCGTAAAGCGAAAATTGCCCATAGGAAACATCTTTAAACGAAGCGCAAGATCGCTCCAAAAATGTCATCGTAAAGCGAATTCATCGTCATGCGAAGCAATCATTTTGCGAGGCACCACTGTAGATAATTTCCACATCAAGAAAATGGCTAGAATCCTGTTGATTATTTACATCAGTGTAAGTACAGCAGCATATTTCAATGACAAAATATTGCCAAGTTAACAGGCAGCTTCTTGTGTTCCTTGTCACTCATCCCAAAGAGACAGAATTAAGATTCAAGATGATTATGACAGAGTAGAACACTAAAAGATAAAAATAAATTTAACGGGAAATGTAAAGCTCTACATCTAGGTAGGAAAAACCAGATTGAATGTCTTGATAGCATATATGAAAAGGATCTACAGATATTATTGGCCACCAGAATAATTCAAGAACTTTAGTTGTGAGAGGGAATTGTTACTTTCCAAGAAGCTGCTCAGCTTTACACAGCGTAAGTTACAGTGCTGGATTTCAGCCACTTATTAATATACATACCTAGTGTTAAAAAACAATTTATGCAAACTTTCACTCTTGAGAAACCACACCCATTTCAACCAGAGGTTAATTTCTACCAGCACATCACATACAATATACCTTATAGACACTGTGTGATGTAAAAATGCAAACTCAGCCTTGCAACTGAGGAGTAAAAAAAAATTCCTGGTTCCAGCTAGGGTAGAACCCCTGAATCAACACTGTTGATTTACCACGTCCCATTGATTTGGATAAGTTGCTGTTTTTCAAAACCTAAAGCCCATTAAAATTAAAATAAATTTGCACCACCCCCAAGTGTGTGCATGGGTGTGGGGGGGAAGCATACTAGTTCCTATCTAATTTATATACAATCTTATTCATTTCCCAAAAAATCACACCAAGTGATTAAGAAACAAAAACTAGAAGCTAAGGAAGGGAATATGGACATTCTGCTATTTCAGGAAAAATCGTGAACACAGGACACTAGTGACTAACACTGAAAGTGTTTACCATTCAATATATGGAAGATAAAAGTAAGAAAATGTGGGGTACACATCTTATTCACAGCTGTTCATTTTCTAAAATGCAAGCTGAAACAGCAGTTGCAGGCCTCAGGATCAGAGGTGATACATCACAATTATTTCTCCCCAAGTGGTTTATGGAATGGGCCAGTAACTTGCCAAGCTGAAGCTACCAGTTCTAGATGTCTGGGATTTTATACAGCCATGCAGTAAAAATACTTGACACCAGAGTATTGAATGATCAGGCAAGTTTTGCTTTTCAATTGATTTAGCGCAGCAATCCCCTATTTATTCACTACAGTTATAATATACAATATTCTTGGCAATAATACTGTGTATGAGAGAACAACTAGTGTGTAAGCACTTGGAAAAAGTGCAGGGATTAAAATTCCTGGAAATATTGAATATCTGTTTTTAAAACTGCTTTTGCATTATCAAAGTCAAACTCAAGCCACTACCCAGGTACACAATTACCCTGGGTTTTAAAGAATTTTAAAATTTGTATTCTGCAGTCCTGATAAAAGGCTGCGCTCAATGGCATGGGTTGAAACTATATACAGCTATACAGAGACAAGCCCTGGCTGTTGGATCAACATATGTTTTTAACAATTATAACTGAATCCCTGAACCCTGTTTTAGCAGATAATTTAAATCTTTTTCTTGTTTTAATCTTTTAATTTTATTTTAAATCACACAGTGTTTAATTCGTCTTTTAATATTTAACTTATTGTGTTTTTAATTGTGTGAATTTTGATGTGAGCTGGCTTGGGTCCCTTGTTAGGAGAAATGTGGCATGTAAATAAAACTAGTAATAATATGCTTATACTACCATGTGACGCTCAGCTGGATTATACTGCACATATTTATCCATACATGGAATGATACATCCTCATGAATCTTCTTCCTATCATATTATGTAAAATAAAACATTGAGTCCGACATAGCAGCTCCCTCTGGGGAATAGATTTTGGTTGTTCCAAATAACTCTTCAGCTCCCAGCAGCATGCACCTCCGTTCTCAAGTAAACTTTCCCGAAGTTCAAAACAGGATGTAAATACAGTACAAAGCTTATGGCTGTAAAGGGATTTTTTTTCCTATAATATTAGTACTCTTCATTTTTCAAAGTTTCATAGACACTTGCCAAACAATATAAACAGCACAATGTAAAAAAACTGTCAAGTTCATTTTCAGTTTCATCAGGCTTTTACCTTATAAGGTTACAGTTCTCAAGAAGCAGCATAGAGATATAACACTCACGGACATGTAATACAATAGACTACGCAGCACTGGCAACTAAAGGAACCACTGGTCTATACACTGCATGCCATACACATGAAGGCATTAGAACCTACTACTGGAATTAAAAACAAAACTCCAAGATGCCCAAGTAGCAATAAAGAAAATCTGGTAGAGTTGTCAGCTCTTCAGCAGCGGTGGAACAGTGTTAACTGCAGTGTTCATTTTGGAAACGAGGGGCAAAATTTCTGGTAGTTTCACTCTCCTGTGTTGTGATTAAGTCTATAATGGCAGTCAGCACTGCAGTTTCCCTTGATTTAGCATCGTTCCAGTCCACAGGCTGGGGTTTTTCTATTTTCTCTTGCAGAAGGTCATCTAATTCTTTTCTCAAATCCTGTGGATAAAAGGATGTTAGCTAGGGGGGAAACTAAATGCTTAAAAGTTTTGACAGATATTCTACTTGGAAAGTGTTCAGAATCCTACTACACATACTTATGACCTAGTAAATCCCAATGGTATAAATTTCAGCAACCAAATGCTGCTAGTTAAGAAGTCAATACTGCTTTTCTTGTCATTTGCCAAGTCATGCAACTGCTTTGTTCCAAGAAAAACAAGCACTGACTCAAATGGAAGTATTTCACTGCTGACATTTATACTAGTGGTTCTTAACCTTGGGTTACTCAGGTGTTTTTGGACTGCAACTCCCAGAAGCCTTCACCACCAGCTGTGCTGCCTGGGGTTTCTGGGAGTTGCAGTTCAAAAACAGCTGAGTAACCCAAGGTTAAGAACCACTGATTTATACTATTGCACTTACAGCAAACTAAGCAGGAGTAAGCAACAGAGTTCTGGCCAATGTCCTACTTCTAAATTTCTATGTCCCAATAACAGGGGATATCAGATACTTTGAAAACTGAATTAAGTATGTCATTTTATGTCAAAGTAAATTCAACTTGCTTTAGGAACAGCTTTATCTGTTGTAATTTATTCAAGAACTGAATAAAATACTGTACTCCATAACTCTGAAAGTAAGCCAAGTATCCAGACCAAATATTTCCCAAGCATTCAATGTATTAAAAGGATCAAATGTTCAAACTAAAATAGTTAACCAGTTCCTTGAAAACCAAGATCGGAAGGCCTACATCCATATCCTGCACCAGTAAAATCAAGGTATTCTCTCCATTGCAGACCTCTGTGGCAGCAAAAACCTATTCCAAAGTGATTTTTCCAGGAGATCTCCCAGCCATCCAGAGCAAATTTTTAGGGTGTTGCAGAGGGACTAACTGTTTCAATTAGACATAGCAAAATCCAGAAGTGAATTCTGGCCTAGGCTTTTGGATCATATCTCTTTAAAAGGCAGTAACTGGGCAGAAAATTCATTTTGGTCAGTATCTGCAGTATCTATATTCTGGATTGCAAAATAATTCATGGGGGAGGTGTAAACAGATCAAGAATATACTAAAATGAGAGATTTCAGATAAAGGACAGCAGTGTTTTAGGAAAAGAAAGCATGTGACTTTAGACAATAAGGCATTTAGAATCTGATAAATAAACCAGACATTTTAAATATTATTTTCTTCCCAAACCACCTGTTATAGCCTGTTGAGATGCTAGATTCAGAACAAAATCTGTTAATAGTATTAGGGGTATAAGTGAAGTGGACTGCACCACGTTTATCTGAAAGTAAATCTTCCTTGCAACTATATTTTAACCACATGAACAAAGAAAATGTTTTATAGAAATAAGAATAGACCTCTTCAGGTGATAGAATATCTGGTTTCATGAATATGATTATAAGGGAAAACTTAAGGCCTCCCACACGCTCCTTCATTGTCTTAATTAATGACTGAGAAGTCTGAAAGGGAGAGGTTGGTACTCATATGTAGGCTCTATATGCAAGCAAAATCCATATTTTTCAGGTTATTCCTTAGCAACACTTTCAGGAAACTTGGTATTATAACGCCTTAAGAGGGCTTATATCCTTTTTCATTACTTTCACATCCGCACCATTACTTAGGAAATAAGAAATTAATTAAGGGCTGAATTGTCCCTCCAACAATGAAACTCCTGAACCAGACTTATGCCTGAAAATATCTATGCATTTTAGAAATATCTCAAGCAGGGCAAATGTTACTCTATAGAAAAGATGCTTTCATAGTGCATTTATTGAACTGTTTCAATTACTGTACTCGGTTTTCTTTTCTTGAGAAGCTAAACTGAAAAGAAAACAGGTAGCACACTCACCTTCACTAGCTGGGCTATTCTTGCTGGAGACTGAAATACAATCCATTCATCCACAGCAATTGTATCCTGATCTTTATCCTTTTGGATAGAAATATCCCCTCCAAAGAACAAAAGACAGTACGGAGAGACTTCGGTGCAATCATACAAGTATATCTGTAACAAGGATAGTATTCAGCATAGAATACAATCAGAAGAGAGGAGCAGAAGGCACTTGGTTGCATTAACAGAATTAGACTCTGAACTATAGTAAAGGTCTGCAGGAGGGTTCAGCCATTATAGCAGCATGCCTTTCCTCCTCTCAGAGTGGCCACCAAAGAGGATGTGGAAGATCTTTCTTGCACTTTTGTCTGCAGTTTGTTATATCATTTGATCCAACAAAGTTGGCATTATTTTAACTACAGTCGGCTTGAAACAAGGCAACTTCAACCTCTCAATTATGAATCTGGCCTGTTTCAACTAAAATTCATTAATCTAAAATGGATGGAACTGTGTCAGAGAAGAATAAACAAAATCCTGGAGTAACCTAGCCCTGTTTTGAACACAATAACATATGGTTTATCTCAAGACAAGTGCTGAAAAAAAATGCTTCTAGTAAATGAGAAAACCATCCAAGGATTAATAAACTACATGTAAAGTCTAAGATACTGGGAGGCTTGTCAAAAAAAAATTATACCAGTGAGAAAATCTACACTGCTCCCTTCCATTTTGTAGGTGGAATGAAAAGCACAAAATCAAAGAAGAAAACAGAGTGTATGAGAATCTAAAGAACAGTCAACTCTTAAAGAATAAAAGGAACAGACAGTGCTGAAGGGTAACAATGAAGGATTAAGTGAGCCATACATATTAACATGTATCAGTCTGGATTTATGCGCAGATTGTAATTACTACATGCCACAGAAAATGTTTCACACTCTCTGACAATGAAAGTTAAGTGAGGTTATTACACCAAAATGGAATCTTTAAACAGAGTAAGGATGGAGTCCCTTCAACAGATTGTGATAAAAGGATTAAAGACATTGAGATACGAAAAGTGTAAAGAAAGGATCACTTACGCTGCTTGTCCGCATTTTCAGATGATAAACAAGCCAGTTGTAGTGGAACTCTGTCTCCTCAACATTCACAGATTTAGGATGAATGTTAACTGTTCCATCCGTTTTAGTGGAAACCTTAACCCTTAAAGCATAAACAAAGCAGATGCAAATCAACAGCAGGCACAAAATTGAAGGATTTCAGACAAGTATCCTTAGACAAAAGTCTTGTCCTGGGTTAGACCCAGATTTTCAGTCACTGATGTCCAACTGATGCTCACTGAAGGGATGTTTTCAGATTCCTTGTTCCCCCTACATCCTGCACAAGCATAGCCCATGCGCTTCCGGAGGATGGGGATTCCTTGGGAACAGCATGGGAGGTGGCACTCTTGGATCCAGGGAGAAGGGAGACTACTATCACCCTGTCCTCTTCTTCCAGTGGAAAGCCTTTGCCGGATCTGGGCTCCCTTCACAAGAAAAGGGACCCCTTTCTGTTTACAGAAGATCAACTAGGGACCCAAACCATTATATATGACTGCGGTCAATACCCAAACTGTGCATTAGGCATTACAACAAGATATTCCAGCAAGAAGTGAAAGCAAACAGATGTGGAATGTTAAGCATCTGTCTTCTTTCAAAATTCCCATTTCAAAATAAAAAGCCATGAAACAGATTCCTGAAAAGGTATAGTGCGAAATGACATGCTAAACTCTCCTACATGTTCTGTTCTACTCTGTGCTCTAAAGGAAGGTGACAAAACAACACACATGTATAAAAGTAATCCCAACAGTGGGGGCACAGAAAATCACACCATTATCCTCTGTTCCTTAACTTAAGGGACATTCTATTTTCATATTGTTTTTTGAAATCTGATGTTTTTTCAAGCAAGAAAACAAGCACTCAGACATGATGAAAAGCAATTTCCTATCATTATTCATTTCCAGCATATCAAGAAAAAATATATTTAATGCATTTCTGCTAGACTTGACCAAATAAATACATATTTAAACTGTGTGCAGCAAAGCAATGTAAGTGTTATCTGTTGCCCCATCTAGTGGCAAAATTATATTACTGAATTTTGGTCAACTCCAATAGGACTGCAGTTTCATTTGAAACACTCTAACACACATTTTTTTGGACAATAGTAGCATCAAAATGGTTACTGAAGAATATTGGCTTATTTCTTTAAAAATAGTGGGTTTTATTCAAAAGCTTTTAAATCCATCTTTTAATCTAATTTCTCATTTCTAAAAATACTAAAATTTAAGTTTCTTTACTAATTGGAAGCTGAAGAATCAGGAAAAGCATGAAGAGTATATTTGACAGACAGGAATGAAATGAACTCTGTGGGAAGCTTCAAGCAAAGAAGGGATCCTCCTACTAGTGCTTTATACTCTCTAGCCAAAGAGGAAGTTTTTGGGTAGTTTTCAAGGCAGCAATATAGACACTTGTTCAAACAACTATGAAATAAATGAAAGCAATTCATACAAAAATAGATTCTCTTTTCTCAAAAGCTATTCTAGAGCAACAATTCTCAACCCATTCTTGGCCAAACAAGAATACACAGTATGAAAGAAACTGAGGCTGAATCAGGATCGTATAAGTAGCATAATGAACCTTATAAGGTAGTGTGTGAGAAATTGTTTCCAATCCGTGTCCCTCCCTTCAAATGTGCCAGGGCACCACAGGGGGTCATTGAAAATGACTGAGCTAGACCGAGGACATTTTCTCAATTTGTAGTGATGCTGAAAATATTTTTGGGGTGTGTCTGTGGGTCATAATGTATCAACTCCACCCAGAACAGCACTGGATCCAAGTTAATACGAGTAATGAGAATTTCCAGAGCAAAGGCAATGTTAGTCTGTTTCACTATTTGGCAAAACGAAAGGGGACAATGGAAGGAGAAGAAAGCAAAATATTTTCTGCACTTCTCCAGACTGCCTGAAGAAGTGGATTTTGATCCACAGAGGTTCATACTGAAATACAGCAAATCTGTCCCTAATATTTGCGGTCTTTTGCCAATAAGTAACTAAAATATTTTGCTTTGGGTGTTGAGGGCCTGATCCACTAATAATCATCTAACGTAATGCTTCACAAACATGGATCCCTGGATGTCACTTGAATGACAGCTCCCAGAACACCAAGCAACTGGCCACCAGCTGGGGGTTCTGGGGTTTGAAGGATACAACATTTGAGAACTGACCTAAACACTGAAATACACAGGAAACCAGATACGTAAAATGCCTTATTGTAGTGTGAAGACTTGTGTTCTTTTGTTTTTGAGGAGGAATTTATCTCACTAGTGTTGAGATTATAAAGGAACTGTAGTCTTATGCTTGTTTTAATTTCAACAGATCCATTTATAGATACAATTGTTACAGCAGACAATATGCTCTTGGAAAGATCTCAAGATTACACTAAGCAAAAAGTATGAAGACAATGGACCTGTTAAAGACCAAGGTGAGAACAGGGAAACTTAGAACACGGAAGTGTTGTTAACATCTGAAGCATACACGAATTATGGATTTAATCAGCCAGAAACTGTGTATATTAACATACTTGTAAAAAATGTATGAACATTAAAACTAGTTTATATATTATCCAGATTTTCACTGTCTGGTTGGAAAACTACTTATTACAGCATTTTCCTAAACTTCATGGTAAATCACCCCAAATTCTTTCACCTGGAATATGTTTACAAGGAAAGGGAATGTAAGTAAGATTAAATATAAATTAATACAGTGGTGCCCCACATAGCGACAATAATCCGTGCAGCATAAATCGTTGCTATACGGATTCGTTGTTATGCGAAGAAAAAGCCCATAGGATGGCAGTAAAACCCGTTTTATGTGTTCCTATGGGCAAAAAACTCACCTTTAAGCGAAAATCCTGCATACGGCTGCCATTTTAGCTGACCGGTAAGCGAGGAATCTGGGCGAAAACACAGCGGGTGGCCATTTTGGAACTGCCGATCAGTTGTTGGGAAATCATCGCTATGCGAACATCGGTAAGCGAAACAGCTTACCGATCATCGCAAAGCGATATTTTCTCATTAAAAACATCGCAATGTGATCGCAAAAACAATCACAAAAAAATCGTCGCTATGCGGATTCGTCGTTAAACGGGGAACCCGTTAAACGAGGCACCACTGTACAGTGTTTTCATTTTCATGAATATGAGCCCTGTGAAGCATCCAAATAACCACAGAACATGAACATATTGTAGAACCATGCTTGGCAACATGGACTGCTGATGATTCAAACTATGGTTGGCTAGCAGTCTTTCTTTGTGCCTTACAAATATTTCACAATTGTGCTGAAATATTTCTGTTTTATAAACAAATGCGGACTCCTACATTGAGCAGGGGGTTGGACTCGATGGCCTTATACACCCCTTCCAAGTCTGTTATTGTAGGATTCTAAATATTTCAGGCATTATGCACTCATCAAATCTCAAGAGGCGGAACTTAAAATAGGCTTATAATGATGATCAATAAATAATATACTACCCTTTCCTGTACTTTTTATGGATTCTGAGTGGAACTTAAAATAGGCATATAATGATGATCAATAAATAATATACTAAGTACCCTTTCCTGTACTTTTTATGGATTCTGGCTTATACAGTATGTCTTATTAAACTCCCTTTATACCTGCATACGAAGAGTCTGAAAGTAGACATTTAAAATCTTACATTTTTCTTTTTTTGCTGAAGTTTGCTCGGATTTTTGCCACCTTTGGATATAAGCCAGCACAGATAACGGCTTTGAGTAATTTCTCATTGTCTGGAAGAAAAGACAGCCTAGTCAAACAGAATCCATAACAGGTAAAATAAAAGCATACGTGCTAGACTGTTTCTATTCAGAATTTACCTGAATTAATGTTGGATTTGGGGTCTTTGGGGCTTCTACTATTCACAAAACCAGCTGCAAGGAGATGTTCAGCAAACTGCCCTTTCATGTTACTCAGCATCTAAGAGAACACCAGAAAAATCACCAATAACGTCTTACAGGTGTGCTAAAAATGGTGGTTTTTTTAATCACTTTTTTCCTTCTAAGAAACAAAACAAATCTGTTACCTGCAGAGTATTTGAAGAAAGGAAATATTCCCAACAATAATCTTTCTCACACCTGAAACCACGCCTCCGAGCTTCTTCCCACCCCTGAAGAGAGAAAATGTTTACTACCAATTGTGTCAAATTTCTCAAAGGGAAACAAGTACTGATACTGATCTTTTAAAAAACTAAATCAAATGCCAGACACCAATTGTAACTAGAACTATACACAACATACTTAACAAGTGAAACATGTAAATTACAGTGAAGCATTTAAAAAATATATCTTGCTACACAGAGTAATTCTCGCCAACAAAGCAACACATTTTTGTTAGCTAATCCAGATTAAAATAAATTCAACAACACAAAAGTTGGGGAACTCTATCTCATTTCCTTATTCTACTACATGTGAGACAATAAGCTCTGGGGTTATATACCCATACACAGTTTTGATGCAAAATAAGAGATACTTTATAAAATTTAAGCTGAAGAAGACACAGGACCCAAACAAAATCCCTATACTGGCCAGATTCCCTTTCCCCCTGAATGAAAACACAGAATATGCAGTTAATTGAAAGTGACATGCCTTGCTGGGTGTCTGGCATTTTGGCAATTATCTTATATTAACCTGCTACTTCTGCGTATTTACTTTAGAGCATTTTTTAAAAAAATCACAATTCTCTTCCTTTGAGAGAGAGAGAGAGAGAGAGAGAGAGAGAGATCCAATGATAAACTTGTAAAGACTGCGTAAAAAATCATCACTAGTAAAACCATGTGCAGCTGAACACGAGCAGCTTCTGACCTCTCTATGCAGCATACGGGTCCCAGTAATACCTGAAGACACTTCAGGCTGCTGTGTTTGTCGCAGTAACTTAATTTCTATCAGAAACCATTCACAGTCAACTACTAAAGCACATCTACCTTGAGAGCATTGACAACTGTTAAGTGGTCACTTTTAGAATTCTTTGATAGCTCCTTTCTTCTTGCATCTGCCACTTTTTCTTTCCCCTGAAAGAGAAGAAAAGCTAGGGTAACCCTGGTATTTTTATTTTCTTCTCTAAAATAGAACATAAAAAGGAGTAATGCTCTCTGCTTGTGACAAATTTGAATTATCTCCAATTTGCCACACACAGAAGGAAAGCTCTTGCTGAAAACAAGGGTTTTGCTTGGCTCTCCTATCGAAGCACTTAACATTTTTAGAACAAAAATTGAAGATTTTTTCTTTCTTTCTCTTTAGATACTTTACCAAGGGAATGACAAAAGGGTCCTTGAAGCTGAGGCCGGCTGCAATAGTGAGGACAGGATCTAAGCAACAGAACAAAGCTCCAAAAAGAATCATTTTTCCTATGTGGGGCTCCACCGGTAACCGTGCCAAATGGACTCCAAGGGGAGTCAATTCTTCATGCCTATCCAATGCGTTCTGTTAAAAAGACACAAATGGAGAAAGGAACTTGAAAAATCGAAGAAACAAATGTGATGCAAAGAGAACACGGCCTCTGAAATTTACTGGGAAACAGAATGCATAGCATAACATTGTGAATCGTGAAGAGGCTCTTACTAAATCACAGCTGCAAAAATTTTTATTATACTACCTTTATGCTCAAGTTGACCTATTTCCACTTCAGACTTACATCTTCCTTTCTGCATTTCTTTCATGTGCTGAAAGTGATGTGCATGCTTTCATCAATGCTTTTTTTAAAAAAAAACAATGTTTTTCCTCGAATTCTGAAATATATTCTACATTCCCTTCACCTTTATCTCAAAGCTGAGGGATACTTTAGCAATATAAATGTATCTAACTCTTCCAAATGGCAACAGCTTTTAAAACCTACTGAACAGAAAGGTACTGACCACATGTTGATTACATTAAAGCATAGTTATTCAAAGTAGTAACCATGAAGTAAGTAGACGGAGTCTCATCTATATCAAGGCAAGAGATTCATGTGAAAGCCAATTAGTATAGTGATTGTACTATTAGAGTGGGATTTGGGAGATATTTTGAACTTTATAATGAGCCATGAACCACACACTATGTGACTTTGCAGAGTAGATTAATTTAAATTTGGGCTAGGCAATCTCCAAAAATCAGAGAGCCAGCCCCCCTCCCACTGCTGAAAGGCTGTATCCGCTCCAAAAACAAACCAGAAAATCTTTTCATATTCTCTAGTGGCCAAGTGAAAAGTATTGCCCAAAATCTGTTGCAAAAAGTATCTAGGAAGCAATTCTACAGCAGCAGCCTGCCTTATATAGCAAAATCTCAGGACAGGATATAGGGCCATATCAGACAATGGAACTTCTTTAAAAGGTATACAATTAAATCAATACAACCACTGCATTATACTCATCACAAGCCAAGACGCCCAACCCCTAAAAACTCTAGTTATTAAGTAATTTACAACATCCAGGCATAGTTTAATTTTTAATATTTGTTTACATATTTGCCTTTCTATTCAGCAAAGGCAATATTCCCACATGATGTTTCTCTGAGAATGAAAAACAACTATGCCTCTAGTCAAAAGAAAAGAAAACTCTAGATAATTGATGAAATGCTTACTCTGTTTTCCCAAAAATAAGACTTAACTTGAAAATAAGCCTTAGTGTGATTTTTCAGGATGCTCGTAATATAAGCCCTACCTCAAAAACAAGCCCCAGTTAAGTGAAACCCCGCCCTTCACCACTGTGCAGCAACCAGAAGAAGATGACATGACTGTATTTGAATAAATGTAGATTGCTGTACATGGAAAAATAAATAAAACATCCCCTGTAAATAAGCCCTAATGTGTTTTTGGAGCAAAAATTAATATGACCCTGTCTTATTTTCAGGGAAACATAGTAAAATTATCCTAATAATGGTTAAGAAGGAAAAGGTTGAGAGAATTTATTTATTTATTTATTTATTTGATTTGATTTTTACCCCGCCCCTCTAGACAACATCTACTAATGTCAGAATCCTAAATGCAACTTTTCAGCAACTGTTGTGTGGAGATAAAAAGTGTTATTACAATGAACAGTGCACAGAGAACAATGAAAGAGAAAAGGCATGAGATCTCTTCAATAAGATCCCAAAAAATCCAAGGGAAATTTAAACCAGAATTACAACTACCTGATTAGGACAGAATACAGGCAAGATGGGAATAATATACAAAATGATTACACATAAGAGTTACTATACATAATGCAAGAATGATAGGTTCTCTTGAAGAAGCCTGTAATGAAGAACCTGCTATTTTGGAAAGAGCGAAAGCTGCTCCCAAATCAACTGGAAGAAGGAATTCAACAGATGAAAATGGGACACTAATATGCTTGGAAGTATTCCAGACAACAGAGATGGAATCTGGTAAAATCCTAACAAGAGTACATCAGAATATATGGAAAACAAAACAATAACCCACAGACTGGGAAAGCTAAATATACATTCCATCACACACACACAAAAAGAAACATCAAGGACCTCAGTAATTATAGGACCACTGCATTAATTTTTTCATGCTAACAATGCCCAAGATCTTGCTACAAAGGATTTAATCATATATGGAGCAACCAGATGTTCAAGCTGGATTCCTAAAAAGAAGAGGAACTAAAGATTATATTTCAAATTTGGTATGCTGGATCATACCAAAAATTTTTTGAAGAAGGTTAGCAAAACTAAAATTATGACTACAGAAGAGTTATATAACTTTAATGTTGACAACGAAGAAATTAAAATAGGTGAAATATCATTCAATCAATCATTAATCCAAATGAATACTTAAGCCAAGAAATCTAAAGACAACAGACTTGGAAGATCAACAAACTAGATATAATAAAGGAAGACATGGCTTTGAAGTTATAAGACCTCAGTAGTGCTGCTAATGGCAAACTTCTGGAGGCACACACAGTTCAGTTAGATCAGAAATGATTTGACATTATGTAACAACAACAGAGTTTCTCTTATATCCAGGAATGTGTCAAAGTGTAGTGGTTGTTCTGCCCTCCTTCCCTTTACTGTTTTTTCAACTTACTCCTCTGCCTTGCTTGATCCAACTCCAACCACAAGAGCAAAGCCTCACTCAGTGGCTGAAATCCTGCACAAGGCTCATAATGTCATCAGTAGAGATGGGGTCAAATTTTAAAGAATGGTGATTTGTTTTGATCCGTTATTTGTCAAGGTTAACGGAAAAACGAACACAAATATATGAATATTCTTCGACAAATCGATCCATCTGCAGTTTAGATGGCTATAACATTGGCCCCCGATGACCTAGAGACACCAAATCTGCAAGGCTGCTTCCTCAGATGCTTTTCTATAATTCATGAATGTTTGGTAAACATTGGATCACAGACCCCCTGATTTATATAGTCACAAAGAGGACCCCCCAGGAAAGTTCCTCCCAGATACTTAAAGACTCCAGAATCACAACAGAGCTTCCTATGTCTTTCCCCAACACACCTGCCACCGTTGGTGAAGACTGGATATCGGACATCTGAGTTATTTACCCACAAATTTGTTCCCCCCAGAAGAGTTTACCACACAGCACAGAAGCCCATTCTGCCTACCGGCTGCCGATAGGCTGCCACCACCCCCCACAGCCAGCCACCCCAACAGCCTACCCCCACACCCCCTTCCTTTCCTTACCTTAGCTCCCACCCCACTCACACCATTACCCCCTTACCTTAATAGCTGCTGCCAGGTCTCCATCAGGCCTTCGCAGCCATGGTGTGTAAAAAGGGAGACTCACTGCTCTTTGCAAAGATGGTGGCTGTGGCTTCATTTAGGGCAGGGAAGCCGCAGCTGCCATCTTTGTAAAGGGCAGCCTGAATTCCCTTTAGGCAGGCTAAGGGAATCCAGGCTGCCCTTTGCAAAGATAGCAGCTGCAGCTTCCCTACCTTGAATGAAGCTGCAGCCGTCATCTTTGCAAAGGGCAGCCAGTCTCCATTTTTACATGCGTGGCTTCAAGGCCAGAAGACCTCGGCGAGCAGCGATTAAGGTAAGAGGGTATCGGTGGGGGTGGCGTGGGGTCTAAGGTAGGGAAAGGAAGGGGTGGGGTAGGCTGTGGTATTAGGTGGCTTTGTGGGGCAGTGGCTGCCTTTCTCCCGCTGATCAGCTGATCGACGGCCAGTAGGCAGAATGTTTTTTTTAAAATACCAAGGACGAATAAAAATGGGTAAATATTCATCTCTTCAGATTCATGGAGGTCTCTGGAACCCACAAATATGGATCAACGAATATTTAACAAATCGGCTATATTTGTCAGAAAAAGCGATCCATTTTTATATGGTGATTTTCCACAGATTAAACATTTCTGATCCCCTCTCACAACATGGTCATGAGGTTCCCTTGGGATCACTTTCATTGTGGGAAAGCCATTTGGGGCTGTGGGGAGTCTTTAATTTCTGAAAATCTCCATAGGTGGGATGACCTTACCTGCAGCAGTGATTTTCAAAAATGAAAAACTCCTCAGTCTTTCAGCCCTAAAGAACATCCCCACAATGAAAGAGAGAGAAAGTATCAGAAAGGTTTTTTAAAAAGAAACCCTTAAAAATCAACAACACAGCACAACAGGATTTTGGTCAGTTTCTGTTTAATATTCTTCAGTGACTATCAAGCAGAGAATATTGTTCTTTAAAATATCTATCTATTTAAAGGTCATTTTTATCCAACTTTGACTTTTGATCAATCATTTCTTTAATTCTGAGCTTCTTGCCAACTTTAATTTGGTTTTATTTAGAGTAGGCATCCTTTAGTCTTGAGAGACTAATTCTCCATACAGGAGAACCGTTAGCCATTCTTATAACATGTCCAAGCCAACGTAGACATCACTGTTTCAGTAACGTATACATGCTAAAAATTCCAGCTCGTTCTAGGACTACTCTGTTTGGAACTTTGTCCTGCCAGGTGATACCAAAAATGTGTCAGAGACAATGCATATGGAACATGTTCAACTTCCTCTCCAGACGTGCACGGAGGATCCAGGACTCACTGCAGTACAGGAGTATGCTCAGGACACAGGCTCTATAGACCTGGATCTTGGTATATGCCATCAGCTTCTTATTAAGCCATAATCTCTTTATGAATCTAGAGAACATGGTGGCTGCTTTGCCAATGGTTTTATATTCTGCTGTGTTTTGTCACTGTTTGACAGTAGGAACCCATATATGTGGGGCATTGGTTCCAAGCTCCCCATCCACAGATACTGAAAACGAGTATAATACAGATTGCTATATGATGCATGGTAAAATAATAATAATAAAAAACTTTAAAAAAATGTTTACCATATATTACCATAACTGGCCACTAGAGATTTCTGGCTCCCTCTACTAGCCAGTTCTGGCAAATACATCATAAAATGCATATTTCTAGTTTTTTCTCTTAATATTTTCTGACCATGGATAAGTGAAACCGTGGATACCGACCCCAAGGACACAGAAATCATACTGCATTAATCATCAGAATCCTATTACCAATTTATGCATATGCAAACAACATGCCAAAAGTCACAGTGGTGGATGGTTGCTAACTCACAATGAATTAATTGCTGTTTGTGTTCCTTGTCACACAATGAGCATGCAAACAGGAAAAATGACTGACATTTTATCAGTTAGTGGGAATTCACCACTATGACTTTTATTTCACTTATGCACATATGAATTGCCAATAGAATTTCCACCATGGCTGTATGTTATATCTTTAGTAGACTGTAACACCATCTAAAGAACTCTGGGTAGTGGGTACTTTAAAAATGCAATAAATAAATGAATAAATAATAAAACAAATTAAAATAGTGATATAGTTTCCTCAAGCACTCAGAAAGCTATAGTTGAGGAAGAATTATTTATCCTATTCGTTAAATAAGCAATTTTCCATACATGGGACTTTTTTTTCCTACCAAAGTGTAGCTGAGAAACATGTTTCCCATCTTATGAACTCTGCGAGAATTAGACCCAGGGATACAAATGTGTACCCATTAACCTAAATGCTTATGATACAATCCAGCCTCTGGAGTTTTGAAATTAGAACTTGTGTTACAGCACAGAGAGCAATCACCAGGAATGGGTTCTAAAGTGCCATCCAATGGCGGCCAGAATTCCTGTAATTCTGAGGCTTCAAAAGTACTGCCCGTGCTTTCTGCCCTTCAGCAAACTACAAAGGCTACACATTCAGGTCAACCACTATGCATACATTTTCATGTTTACTTTTACAATGCCTGTCCCATCCCAAATGCTGGCAATTAGAGTTTATAACATCTGTTTCTCTACATAACTTGTACACTGAAAAACAGTGCTACAGGACATTTTCAGTACATATATTACATTGCCTGGGACAGATTAAATATACCCCAACAGTCAGTAGATTTGTTACGGTATTTTTGGTCCTAGATTCCACACTCCCCCACCCTCACTATAAATTATGTATGGAAAATGTCTGAAATTTGAGGACGTTGTTTATAACTCTCCAGGTCACAATACCACAGAATATATACACTGTTTGCCTTGTTCTGTGTAGATTTTGCAGTGAAGCATTATTATGGGGAATAAAAATGTCATGTCATAGTGCATGAAGTTAAATTTGCATTTCATGTTATGCTAAGAAGTGTATTAAAGATAAATATCAGGATACATGCTTTCTCTTAAAGGCTGAAACTATACATATCTTAAAATAACTGTTTTTTAATATCAGGTATGATTTGTTCCAACAGAATTGTTAAGTATTCTGAACTTTTACAAGATTAAACAAGCTAATCAATAGATGAAGGAAGCAAAAATTTACCAGTTGCATGAGATTTTTTATGGACAGCAATACAGCATCACTTGATGGTGGATCCATTAGCTTGCTTAGAAAATGGGCAATTCCGCCAAGTTTTAAAATCTGAAAGAAGAAGAAATCAGATATGTTTATGAATTCAAGTTATACTGAAGAATAGCCTTGTGGCGTAGTGGTTAAACTTCTGTACTGCAGCCAAAACTGTGCTCAGGAACCGGGATTCAATTCAAGGTAGCTGGCTCAAGGTCGACTCAGCCTTCTATCCTTCCGAGGCCGCTAAAATGAGTAACCAGCTCACTCAGGGGGCAATTTGTAGCTTGCATAATTAACTTGTAAATCACCCAGAGAGTACTTGAAGCACTACGGGGTGGTATATAAGCATCATGCTTTGCTTTATTTCTGGACATTTGGGAAGGAATACTGCCATCTGCCCCTTCATGGATTGCTGCCTTGTCATGGCAAAGGGGCTTGAGTAATTCAGAGAAGCTATGGGCTATGCCATGCAGGGACACCCAAGATGGACAGGTCATAGTGGAGAGTTCTAATTAAATACAATCCACCTGAATCAGAACTGGCAAGCCACTCTAATATCTTTGCTAAGAAAACTCCGTGGACAGAAACAAAAGGATAAAGATATAACACTGGAAGATGACCCCCTAAGGTCGGAAGGCATCCAACATGCTACTGAGGAACAGCGGAGGACAAGGACAAGTAGCTCCAGAGCTAATGAAGTGGTTGGACCAAAGCCGAAGGAACACTCAGCTGAGGACGTGCCTGGAAGCGAAAGGAAAGTCCGAGGCTGCAAAGAAAAATACTGCATGGCAACCTGGAATGTAAGATCTATGAACCTTGGTAAGCTGGATGTGGCTGTCCAACGAGGCCTTACAAATAGCAGGGAAGAGAAGGGAAACAAAATGCAAGGGAGACAGATAAAGAAACAGAAAATTGAAAGCAGATTTCCAAAGAATAGCAAGGAGAGACAAGAGGGCCTTCTTAAATGAACAGTGCAATGAAATAGAGAAAAATAATAGAAAGGGAAAAACAAGAGATCTGTTCAAGAAAATTGAAAATATTAAAGGAACATTTTGTGCAAAGATGAACATGATAAAGGACAAAAATGGTAGGGACCTAACAGAAGCAGAAGACATCGAGAAGAGGTGGCAAGAATACACAGAGGAATTACAGTGGTGCCTCGCTTAATATTAATTGGTTCCAAAAAAACATCGCTATAGGAAAACATCGTTAAGCGAAACACCATTTCCTATAGGAATGCATTGAAAACCGGTTAATCCGTTCCAATGGGAACAGATTACCGTCCTTAAGTGAAAATCCCCATAGGAAACATCGCTAAGTGATACAATGTTTCCCCCATTGAAAATCATTGAAGGCGACTCAATGATTTTCAATGGCTTTCCGATGTCTGCTTTCGCTCATTTCAAAGTGTCTTAAAATGTTTGAAACCTGTTTTAAATGCTTGGAATCGTTAGTCCACCTTGTGAAACCTATGCAAACTTAATTTGGCTTTGTTCTGAGTCTTCGTTAATTTTTGGTGAATTCCCCCCCCCCCATTGAAAAGCATTGAACGTACATACAGATGCGGAAAATTCCTCAAAGAAACCCATCGCAAAGTGAATACATCGTTAAACGAAGCAATCACTAAGCGAGGCACCACTGTATACCAGAAAGATCTGGATATCCTGGACAACCCAGAGAGTCTGGTTGCTGACCTTAAGCCAGACATCCTGGAGAGGGAAGTCAAGTGGGCCTTAGAAAGCTTGTCTAACAACAAGGCAAGTGGAGGTGATGGCATTCCAGTTGAACTATTTAAAATCTTAAAAGATGACACTGTTAAGGTGCTACACTCAATATGCTGGAAAACTCAGCAGTGGCCAGAGGATTGGAAAAGATCAGTCTACATACCAATCCCAAAGAAGTGCAGTGCCAAAGAATGCTCCAACTACTGTACAATTGCACACATTTCACACACTAGCAAGATTATGCTCAAAATCCTCCAAGGTAGGCTTCAGCAGTATGTGGCCCAAGAACTCCCAGAAGTACAGGCTCGGTTTCAAAGGGGCAGAGGAAATAGAGACCAAATTGCTAACATGCACTGGATAATGGAGAAAGCCGGAGAGTTCCAGAAAAACATCCACTTCTGCTTCACTGACTATGCAAAAGCCTTTGACTGTGTGGACCACACAAAACTATGGCAAGTCATTAAAGAAATGGGAGTGTCTGACCACCTTATCTATCTCCTGATAAATCTATACATGGGACAGGAAGCAACAGTCAGAACTAGATACAGAACAACTGATTGGTTCAAATTTGGGAAAGGAGTACAACAAGGCTGTATATTGTCTTCCTGCTTATTTAACTTATATGCAGAATACATCATGCAAAAGGCTGGACTGGAGGAATCCCAAAATGAAATTAAGATTGCCGGAAGAAATAACAACCTCCGATATGCTGATAATACTACTCTGATGGCAGAATGTGAGGAGGAATTAAAGAACCTCTTAATGAGGGTGAGAGCGCAAAAATGGTCTGAAGTTTAACATCAAATCAACTAAGATCATGGCCACTGGTCCCATCACCTCCTGGCAAATCAAAGGGGAAGATACAGAAGCAGTGACAGATTTTACTTTCTTGGGCTCCATGATCACTGTAGATGGGGACAGCAGCCATGAAATTAAAAGAGGCTTGCTTCTTGGGAGGAAAGCGATGACAAACCTGGGCACTGTCTTAAAAAGCAGAGACATCACCTTGCCGACCAAGGTCCACATAGTCAAAGCTATGGTTTTTCCAGTAGTGATGTATGGAAGTGAGAGCTGGACCATAAAGAAGGCTGACCGCCGAAGAATTGATGCTATTGAATTGTGGTGCTGGAGGAGACTCTTGAGAGTCCCCTGGACTGCAAGGAGAACAAACCTATCAATTCTAAAGGAAAATAAAACTGAGTGCTCAATGGAAGGACATTACTCCAATACTTTGGACATCTCATGAGAAGAGAAGACTCCCTGCAAAAACCCCTGATGTTGGGAAAGTGTGAAAGCAGGAGGAGAAGGGGATGACAGAGGACGAGATGGTTGGACACTGTTATCAAAGCTACCAACATGAATTTGACCAAACTCCGGGAGGCAGTGGAAGACAGGAGGGCCTGACATGCTCTGGTCCATGGGGTCATGAAGAGTCGGACACGACCTAACGACTAAGCGACGACAATTGCCATCTGAGTCAGATTTTGATCTCTGGAGAGAAACACATGTTATAGCTTTGTAAAAGGGGAGAAGGAGCGACTGCAGAGTCTGGCCCAGGACACTATCCCAAGTGAAAGATGGTAACACTCAAGGTATGAGCCCGTGCCAGGATGACTTCTACCTGTTAATCACAAGTTCTGTAAGTCTCAAGACAGGAGCTTCTGGGCCCAACCTACCTCTGGGAAGAAGCAAAGCAGGCTCTTAAAAGGCATTAGAGCTCATAAATGAATGAGACTAAAAGATCCAGAATGTTCAGCTTTTAAATACTGTATTATGAGGGCTTCCCCTGTAATGAAACACTAAGGAAAATGTCACTGTAAGAATGATAGATTCTGATGCCATTAAGGCTAATTACAACCTTTAGTTTCAACAACATCAAAAGGCTGAGACCAGTCAAAGAGAAAGTATCCTATACTAGGTTTGGCTCCCATAAGTAAATATTTTCATTGAATTGTTGGGACATGATGACCCACTTTCCTTGGCCTTTGACTAGGTAGATGGGGAAGGACGAAATCTGAAATACGAGGCATCCTTTAATTTCATACAATAGCCTCTCTTATTGGTGTTCAAAACCTAAAGGCCTTTCAAACTGGAAGAAAATGCTAGCTCTCCCCCATCTCTGCTCCCCAAACTGCCCATAAAAGTCATAATTGCCATCACAACTTAGGATAAACAGGTAGACTGTAGAGTTAAAGACAAAAACATCTCACTGATAGCTCTGGGAAGGCCCTGAGAACAGAGATAGTCTGGTGGTTAGAAACAAACTACTACAACTATCACATAATGCTGTTAACATTATTTTTGCATGCCCCAGCTTTTGAACAGAAAGGAGTTTCAAAAGCAACCAGTGAGACGGTGCTAAGGTTAACGGTTCATGCCACTTAGACAATGCAAACATTTTCAATCTAGCTAAGTGGCTCTTCAAATCCCAGCCTCTGAGTAATTTGTACAGAAGCTCCTAGAGTTTATTGTAAATGTACTGTTTAGCTAGTTACCATTTTCCATTTTAGAGAAACAAAGGACTTCTATATATTTAATCTAAGAATGAACATATTTAACTATCATGGCGGAACTTCCAATTTAAACACAATCATGTGAAAGCTGCAAACATTTATAAAACATATATTTACTGAAAGTTTACAGGAGTTCACCAAAAACAAAGTAAAACAATAAAATCCAAAGACAAGAACTCTACCAAAACAGTAAAAGCAGCGGTGTGGTAAAAGGAGCAAAAAAATAATTTGAAATGTTAATAGCCAAACATATTTCAGAACTACAGTGGACCCTTGACTTACAGACGGCTTGACTTACAGACTTTTTGAGTTACAGACTTCTCTGGCCGCAAAATTTAGGTTTGACTTGCAGACTGAGATTTGACTTACAGACCAGAAAAAAAACAAAATGGAACAAAAACGGCCTGTTACGGGATTAATCGGTTTTCAATGCACTGTAGGTCAATGGAGACTTGATTTACAGACTTTTTGACTTGAGAACCGCCTTCCAATACGGATTAAGTTCTCAAGTCAAGACCCCACTGTAATACATTTAAGACACCTCTTACCTGCATTGGTTCTGAAAGGCAAAATGCAGCAGCCAGATTGCTAACTGAGTCTGGAGACAAGGATCACATAACCCCCGTTACAATAGTCCACTAGCTGCCAATCTATTCCTTAGCATAATTCAGTTATGTTTCTAACATATACAGTGGAGTCTTGACTTGAGAACTTAATCCGTATTGGAAGGCGGTTCTCAAGTCAAAAAGTTCTCAAGTCAAATCTGCATTTCCCATAGGAATGCATTGAAAACCATTTGATCCGTATCTGCTATCTTCCGTCCATAGAAACTAATGGGAAGCTGCTATTCCGCCTCCGACCACTAGAGGGGGATATTTTGTTTCTTTTTTTCTTAGGTCAAGAAAGGTTCAGGGAAGGCAGGGAAAATACAGTCCAGGCAGTACCAGGCGGTCTGAAGACTGTCTCCCAATCCACTCTCTAAACGCTGGGAGGAGTGAGGAAGCAGACAGGCACCCTTTTCACTGGCCAACAGTTAACTGAAAGTTCAAATTTTGCACTTTCCCTGCCTCCCACGTGGTTTTTTTTTCAGTTCTTAACTCAAATCTAAGTACTTAAGTCAAGTCAATATTTTCCTATGAGAGCGGTTCTTAAGTCAAAATGTTCTTAACTCAAGCCGTTCTTAAGTCAAGACCCCACTGTAAAGCCCTAAATAGCTTGGGCCCAAGCTATCTCAAGGATCTCATCTCCCTTTATGAGGCTGCTAAAGTCAATGTCATCAGAACAGTCCTTCCTCTCAGTCCCACCACTTTCACAGGTGCATTTGCTGCAGGCCCAGGAGAGAACCCTCTTTGTTGCTGCTCCCAAACTCTGGAACACCCTCCCACAAGAGACCAGGCTGGTCTCATCTTTGCTATCTTCTGCAAGCAGGCAAAGACCTTTCTCTTCAGGAAAGCTTTCTGAGCGAATGGATGCCAAATAAGGTTTTTTAAAATGTACCATACTACATTGAATGTATTTCGGTGTTGCTTATGTGTTTTTCTATCATTATTCATTGATCCTGTTAGTACTGTATACTCACTGTTGCTAACTTAAATACTGTCTCTTGATAGTTGTATGCCACCTTGGGTCCTTTTTAAGGAGAAAGGAGGATTGGAAATATTTTAAATAAATAAACAATAAATTTTGACTTCAAATGCCAGCACAGAGGTTTGCTAACTATTTCACTGAACGCCCATGCTCAGTTTCAGGGGAACTGCAGTAAAAGCTCTGCTCCTTGCCGAAAGTGTCCACACTTCACACAGCAGACAAGTGTGAGCCAGTGGCCAGACTGCACAACTGTTCAGAGGCAGGACCCATACAGCAATGTAAATTAGCCATACATTCCACTGTTATGTTATGGCAGAAGAGACTGGTAAAATAAGAAATCTCTTACTAAGTAAGAAATATCTTACTTGACTAAACTGGAATCCTGTAATGTGTTCATAATCGGGGTCAAAACCTCTTTGATAAATTCTGAGTCTTTATGCTCATCACAATTTCCTCTTACAAGGACAGAGGGTATGCTATTCCCAGAAATTGCAGTTCACTCAAAACACAGCATAAATTACCTTAATTTGTAAACAAAGCTCTTCTAGAGGCGTCCGCAAGATTTCTGGTAACTGATAATCATCTAGAAGAGTGGCACGAAGACCATTGTACAAGTGATAGCAGCGACCTGGCTGGACTCTGTAAATTAAGCATTTGTCATCAAGTGTATTCTTCTTAATCATATGTGTATGCTTTAAAAATTATACCTATTAATGCATGCTGTTTTTACAGAGAAGTGGAATTTTAAAAGGCCAAAGCAAGAAACTAGAATAGTTATGACCAGAGAATAATAAGCTGAAATTCTGATACTACTACAGGAATGTTAATAAGATGAGGTAACATACTACTGCAGCAAGGTGAAGGGGTAGTATCATATTAGCAACAACGTCTTTTTATATTTTATAGCAAGGGAATGGCAAGGGATATGACCTGGCAGAAGCCAGATTTGGGATATATAGGCTACTTTAAGTTTGGATAATAAAAAAAATTAAGTATACCAGCACAAGCTGACTTCCCCAATATTTAATTTCTTTATATAAGAAAATTTGCATTTGAACCTACACTGAATTTGCAGAGGTCTCAAACAGGATGAATTAAAAAACAAAAGGCATGTTATGTTTTTATGTTGTAAACCACCTAGAGTGGTC